AGTGAAATGAGGGGATATTAATGTCAGACAATTTCGCTACCTCAAAACTGTCCAAATAACTATGCAGAATACTAAACTAATACTACTTAACTAACAAAAAGTGTGTTTTGCTTTGAAGTGCCATGTCCAGCACTCTGTGTACAACTTTTACTAAGAGCTTTAGAATAACCAAGCAAAAATTATAAATATTATGCATTCGTTACTGACGTCAGCCTTTCACTGTATTTGCTATTAGGGTGCTGTTATAGTATATTTTTGTGGGTGAAATTCTAGACTCCTTGAAATATATAAAAGTTTTAACATGTTACTAAAGAGGAACCGAATTCCTATGAAACTGGCACACACACACACAAAAAAAAAAAAAAAAAAAAAAAAAGGGTCAGGGATACCCAGCTCTGCCTCTGGGACTTGTCTGAACAAAATTTAGAATAAAATAGACGTTTCAGATAAGTATTTGCCATCACCACGGAAGATTGTCTAAGCTGCAAACGATTCACCCCCCACCTGTGAAGGTTAGGCCCATAATGGAAACTCTCAGCTCATCAGAATTAACCCCGACTTATCATGCAAAACTAATTACTTGTGTCCTTTTCCCATTTCCTTTTCTTTTAAGTCTTGGAAAACAACACTTAACACCCAACCCCAAAGAGCTTGGGGGTGAGGGCTGTAGGAGGTGTGACAATGGGATGGGTGGGATGACACACAGTTTCTATTGTCTGCAATCAGCCACAGGGCAGCATACAATAAAACTGGATGTTGGCTCAAGGATCATACAGCAAACCTGGATCCAGCTCTGCAGATGCTCTAACAAGCAGAAGATAACAGAGTTTTCAACTGAGATCACATTCGACTACTGTGCCCATTACACACCATGCAACGCCACAAAGGTCAAAATCACCCAGGTACTCCAGATGGTTTCCAAATGTGAGTCACCACCACATGCAACACCCATACATTGCAAATACTATTGAAGAACAATGCTGCATTCAAGCAAATTGCAGAAATGCAAGATTACAGCTGTTTAAACACAAATTCTGCTGATGAAATAGAGGCCCGAGTACTGAAAGAGGAAACAATTTCGCAGTTACAAACAGCAAGGGGGCCTTCAAGTTCTCCGAGTTGCACTTATGTGAAATGAACTTTAAAAGACAAAAAAAACCCCAAACATATCCACAAACCATGTGTTTTCATAGTAAAGCATACTGGAACACCCTATAAACAAAAGGTGTGGTCCCGAAAGTATTGCTTCCGTCAGGAGTTGGCCAACAGAGCCCCTCACATTCCGGCAGCATATTAAGACCCGTGCAAATACTGAATAACACCTTCTCACAGGCTGAAAGGACAGTGACAGCTGTTAGCAGCCACCCAGCTTTCACAAAGGTCAAGGAAAAACTTGATTAAATCACCTCCCTCCCCGGGCTTTTTAAAAAAGTTTACACTGAATGTGGAAAGAAAAAAATCCCACAGCAACAAACGCACAGTGTCTTCACCTTTAAAACATTCATAACAAAAAGATAAAACTTTCCACATTCAATCACTTGGCCACCTGAACCTGACATGCTGCAACAGTGTTCTGAAAAGGCAGAATTCTTCCTGGACTACCTAACCACAAATTTACACCTAACTCCCCCAGACTACATCCTATACCAAATGTCTTACTCAAGAAAGTTCATTCCATTCAATACACTGTCACAGCCTTTTCTACCCTGAACTTTTTAATTCAACAAGACCCAAAGCGCTGAGGTCGGTTTCAGCTCAGTCTGTAATCCCACTTGTTTCAAGGGCTTCATACCACACAAAAGGACACTGGTGGGAAGTGTGACACACACTTAGGATTTTACCCACTAAAGTACCCTTCAGAAGACCTGTGGGTGCCATGCTCCTTGTTCTTTCCCATTAGCCGAGAGAGGAAAAAGGTGAAGGAGATCCCAGTGTGCTTTTACAGCTCCTTGTCCCCAAAGAGCAGCACTGAAGGTACAAGTCGGGTCTGTGCACCCCTACATAACCTTTACTTATCGCTTCCACTTAAGTGTTTAGAAAACACTGCCAGTTTTCAAGAATCAGACATGAAATAAATATGTACTACACGCCTACCTGTCAGCCCTTAATGCACACTTGAAAAAGAAGGTGAAAAGCAGAATGTTTTGGTGCTGTGCCTACGTTTTGTCCTTAACCTGCTGCCTCCTCCTCAGCTCCTGGATGTTTGGAGTACAACAGGCAGGAAGAATTCTGCAGGGCTTGGGTGGACAGAAGCTGCAAGCAGGGTTACATGAGACCTCCAGGTTTTGTTCTGCAACACCGGATTGCTGTGAGGCCCCAGACGATCTCATTATCCCCAGCACTCCGCCTCATGCAGGACATAAATGCTGCATTAGGACATCTAATAATTCTGCTGGTTATAGGTCCTTTTGCACTCACAGGGACAATCTTGAGATGTTACTCAAAGTCCAGAATCAAGTGTAATACCAGAAGGAAGTCCACAATAGGATTTGCAACCCAAAGGCACAGGATGCACATCACAGCACAAGGCTAAAAGCCTGTTTTGGAAATAACTCACACGTTGCCAAAGGGATTTTATTGCTTCTGAAGTATGAGGCTTTCTGCAACCAGCCTTTTTCTCCCCCAAGGAATGAACAGAAATTCTACATAACTCCAAGCACATTAACATCCTATGAGCTCTAAAAAGCAAGCTGATTTTACTTCTTTGCTAAATTTAAAGGGTGAATCATGAACACACATGCAGCCTGGTATATCTCTGACAAAACAGGGTGCAAGTAAAGCCTGATCAAACATTGCTGATTTTTCTAGCAAATTTCTGAACTACAGTTAAAAACACTTGCATTTGCCTCAACTTTCAGCCCTTCAAACCATATGAGTCACATGTAGAACAGGCATTTGCTGCTTACCACACCTGCTCCTGAAAACCCATAAAAAAAAAAAAAAGGAAAAAAGACAACTGAGTTCTAAAGTAAATGGAAATTTAATTTTGTTTAAAAAAGAAATGCCATTATCAACAAAAGAAAATGGCATATATTAGATACAGGTTGTTTGTGCGGTTTCCTTTCCAGCAGAAGGGAGAACACAGAGTGAGAAATCAGTTTTGGCCTAAATACCCAGAGCACTGGAAACCAATATGTTTTCAGAGGTCTGCCCAAATTAAAATGGAACAACTCCTGCCAAATTTGTATCTAGAATCATTCATTCTCTTGATCCAACACTTTTCCTCCAGTAACCTACTACATTTCTCAGAGTGCTACACCGAGGACTTGAAAAAATGATACTTTGATGCTGCTGAAGACAACTTCAGAAACAAAATTATCAGATAAAAAATGTTACAAAAGCAATTTGTAACTGTTGCAGAAGACATATATGGCTGCACACACCTCTACAAATATTACATAAAAGAAGAAGAACTATTTATAGGCACTACTCTCTACTACCATTCTGGTTCAGGAGCACCTCAGTATTGCTTGCTGGTTTAGGAGTGAAAAAAATAAAAGTTCATTTTTTGAGAATTCAGAATTTATTTTCCAGTGTGAAAATTGTCAGATTATACTGCCTCTTACTTTAATTCCACACTAATTATTCAGTCTCCTCCCAAAGCATCCAAGATGCAGAAAAGGAGGCAACTGCAGGCTCTCCCAGAAACATTCCCATGCAGCAGAGCTGTTTATATACTGATGAATCAATATAGCATCACTACACTATTTCACCAGCGTTTATCACCTTTTTCCCTATGGCATATAAAACCACACCGAAATAACCTCTCCCAATCAGCAATTGCTCCCTAATTTACTGCATAGGTCCAAGCAGATCTGGGTAAAACATGACTCCAATGTCACAGCAAAACGGGATGCTGAACTGCCTGCCAGAGCGGGCCAGAATGCACCCAGAAAGGACAGCAATTAGCACATCTAAAATAACCATTTCCACAAGAGGCAGCTCAAAAGCTCAGATGTATTTTCATCTCAACTCGCGCCGGTTACCCGCCACAAACACATGACTACAGGAGAGAATCCTGCAGTGCTTTACAATCCAGATGACCCTCTACCACTTATTCTTGACTTCCTCATTCAAAACACCGTTTCCGTCTCCCTCTTCCCCCTCTTCCCGAGCACGGATTTGTCCCAAGATGTTCCTTGTGCCACCACTCAGGGAAGAGCCGCTCCACAGCCTCCTGCCCGCGGGTACCAGCCCTCCCAGACCCAGCAGGTTTGCTCCATGCTCCACCATCAAACATGGCTGCACCATGTCCTCTTTGTAATTGAATATGTGGAACAGCTCTTCTGCCTTCCCAGACCTCTTTCATCTCCCTTCCCTTATTTCTACTCATTAGCGAGGGACCGTATCACACCACTATTGCCCACTTCTCTTTCCTTTTAATAGTCCGATATTTTCCATTAACGTTCCACCGTAAACCAAATGCATTTATACTCTCCAGGTTCTCCTCAAAAGCATCAAGGAGCTTTATGCATTGAAACCCTCTGCACCATTAAAGCCTGTTTTATTTACACACAACACAAAACTCTTCTCGTAAAAATCTCCGTCCTTCAGATCTAGAGCGGAGAGAAGCCCCTTAACAGCAGCGACAGGAAATTTTATCATCTGGCTTTTCTTCCCTGCAGCTCCCTCTCCTGAAACCGGACCCCCTGTCCATAGATCCACCTCGGAGCCTCCCGCAGCAGCCACACACAAAACCCACCCCACGCTCCGCTGCGAGCCTCCCTGCGCTCCCCAGCCGCCGCCGCTTTTTTTTTATTTTTGTGTGCAATGGAGCCTTTTTTTTTAAATTTTAATTCCTTCAGCAAAATTAAATCAAACTCCTGAACGTCCGCTGGGATTTCCCTGCAGAGGCTGCACATGAAACTTTCCGGAGCGGGGGGACGCCGTGCTGAGCTGTGCCGGCGCGGAGCGGCCCCGGCTCCCCGCACCGGCCCCGGGCACGGACCGTTATCCCCGGTGCGGCTCCGCAGCCCCGCTCCCCCCGCGCCCGCACTCACCCACAGCTCCGTGCCCCAGCTCATGGCTCCGCCGGCGCTGAGGGGCGGGCGGGGGGTGCCGCTGTCCCCTGCTGAGTCTGCTCGCCCTCGGGAGGGCCGTGCCCGGCGGTGCGAGCGGAGCGGGCGGGACGGGCGCTGCTCACCGCCGCTCCCGCCTCATCGCGCCGCAAAATGGCCCGGGCGGCGCGGGGCGGGGGAGCGACTGACAGCTCCGGGCTGCGCAGGCGCGGAGCCGCCGCGGCTGGCGCGGGGGGGCGGCCCCGCCGGCGGAGCGCAGGCGCGGCCCGGCCGTGAGGGGAGCGGGGCCGTGAGGGGAGCGGGGAGGAAAAGGGGGATCAGCGGGGAAAGGGGATCGACGAGGAAAAGAGGGGTCAGCGGGGAAAGGGGATCGGCAGGGAAAAGGGGGAATCAGTGGGGAAAAGGGGATCGGGGGGAAAGGGGGATCAGTGGGGAAAGGGGATCGACGAGGAAAAGGGGGATCAGCGGGGAAAGGGGATCGACGAGGAAAAGGGGGATTCAGTGGGGAAAAGGGGATCGGGGGGAAAGGGGATCGGCAGGGAAAACGGGGATCAATGGGGATCAGCGGGGAACAGGGGGATCAGTGGAGATCGGCGGGGCAAACTGGGATCAGTGGGGAGTGAGACTGGGGAAAAGGGGGATCACCAGAGTGGGACGGTGAGGAAAAGGGGGAGCAGCAGTCAGCAGGGAACGACAGCAATGCGGGAGAGGGAATCAGTGGGGAATGGGGATCAATGGGGAGCGGTGGTAGCTTGGGAATAGGGTCAATGGACTAGCGGGGTCAGTGAGGAACAGGTGTCAATGGGCATGGATTAACCAGGAACTCGGGTCACTGGGGAATGGGTATCAATGGAGGAATGCGGGTCTCTTGCAGGTCTCTAGGGAATGGGCATCAGAGAAGGAGCAAGGGTCAGTTGAAAGAAGGGGTTGCTAAGGAATGAGTGTCACACACAGGGAGGAGGCTCTCCCCTCCCTGCTCACAGAATCACCAGCACTGGTACACACCACTGGAGAAGTGGTGGATGCTCCATCTCTGGAAACATTCGAGGCCAGGCTGGACAGGCTCTGAGCAATTTGGTATGGTGAAGAGGTCCCTTCTTACTACAGGGGTTTGGACTGGATGGCCTTTAGAGGTTCCTTCCAGCCCTAACAATGGTATGATTCTATGCTTTCAAAAACTTACTCAAGTTTTAGAAGTCCCTTCACTGGAGAAGGATGTGTCCCAGACCCAGGCTGCCCCCACCTCAAACTTGTGCTGCCCTGACAGTCCCAAGGGAACCCTACAAACTGACATCAGGAACCTGGGCTGGTGAGTTTTCTTTCCCAGGGAAAAATGGCATTGTTTGTGCTCAGGGGCCTGTGGCCCTGAGCGGGCGGCTGACTGCAAAAAATCCAAATGGCGATACACTCCAGGACCTCAATGGCCTCTTTCAAGTGAAGGACCCAAAACTGAGTGCAGTATTTGAGGTGCCTCAGCTGTGCCAAGTACAGAGGTGGTGATGCCAGCCCCACCCACCCCCAGGTGCCCTTCTCTACCTCTTTTCACCTTCCCTCCAGGCCAGGTGAGACTGGTTTTGAAGAAAATGTTCCTGTTTTGGTCCTTTGTAAAGGAGGAGAGGGCCCTAGTAAGGAAGAAAACCCAGAACCCTTGAAACTGTGTCATGTGTGGTTCAGGTTGGACATCAGGAGGAATTTCTTCATAGAAAGGGTGATTAAATACCATCATGGGCTGCCCAGGGAGGTGGTGGAGTCACCATCCCTGGAGGTGTTCAAGAAAAAATGGGTGTAGCACTCAATGCCACAGTCTGGCTGACAGGGTGGGGATTGGTCACAGGTCTTTTCCAGCTCAATTAATTCTGTGAACTCACTGCAAGGGCTGACTTCTAACTCAGCTAAGCAGTATATACATCCCTTACCCCCAAAATAACCCAAATCCAAGAATATTAAATCCACCATCTGTCACCAAAATGCTCAGCAAGCAAGCAGGAAAATAACCAAATTATCTGCCTTTGCATAAATGTGGGTTATTGTAGCAATTACACAGCCCTTGCAGAAAATAGTTCATTTCCTTGCCAGAAAAAATATTTATTTTGTGATCCTCTGTCATTTATTTGAGCTGTGTCACTTAATCTCATTTTGCATTTCTGCTTTTTGGCTACAACAAATGTAAAAAGAGCTTTAGACCAATATGTTTAGTACTGTATCTATTCATGAGAGATTTTTTTGGGGGGAATAAAAAGGAAGCATATTCATTCACCTGAGGTAAAATGTTTCTGCTCATAAAGGGTGGGGATGCTTTTGGTCAGAGAAGATAGAAATGGACCAGCTGCTACAACAAGCATTATCTCCCCTAGATGAATGCACTTCTTCACTGATGCTTGGCTGCTACCCTACATGAGGAAGAAAAACACATTAAGCAATTCCAACATTTTGAACAACAATGAAGACAAATGCTAATAAAGAATTGCATTTATTTTTATCCGAGTTCCATTGATTTGAACATGAGAGGAGAGTGCTGCTCCTCACACAGCTGTCTTTGAAGAGACACAACAGGCAGTGCTTTTGTTCGTCATTAAAAGTTATTACTTTAAAGGTTTGGCTTCATAACAACTAAGAGACACCCTGTTCAGCTCATTTTAGGATAGTTCTTCCTTCTACTGCCAACATATTTGAATATCCAAGCCTCCCCTGCTGCCTGAAGCACAACAACAGTCTTCCAAGAGCCTGTACTTCCACAGGCTCCCAGAGCACCATCTTTAGCCCTACATCCACCCAGGACACATTGCAAAACCAGACAGCACTCTTCCATCACCTCCTTTTGAGAGCTTAACCTATAAATACTAGCAGAAAAAGAATGTATAGAAACAGAAGGCAGCACTGGTATCATCTGAGCTAAGTTTGTGTGGAATTTCCTTTTGCACAAAGAGCTGGGAGGGGAACAGGGCAAACCTGTTACACCAGCATGGGCAGGAAAACCTGTCCACACCGAGAGATAGAAATGCTCCACCAGTTCCAGGGAGATAAAGGCCAGAAATACAAGTTTTGGATTTTGATGGTACATTAGAATAAACCATGCCAAAAACTATTACATGTTATCAAAATGTCTGTGGACAGAGGTTCAAGAAAAAAACAAAAAAGAAAAAGTTAGTTCTACATGTTTCAAGAACAGGATTTTCCCCTATTTTTGACTGCTTTTATTGTGTAGCCTGAGACTCTCAGAGGCAGGGACTGCCACTTAAATTATTACTTTCAGTTGTGCAGTGCCCAAAACAACAGGGCCTACAGCTTGGCTGGTCCCTAATTAATAATGTAATTAGCAATGACAGGAGCTTTAAGAGCCCTTTATGCCAAAGTTGATGCTGGAAAACCTAGTGGGTACTAGTCTTAAAAAATAACTCAAAATTACACTTAGATTATCTAGCACTTCTGCACTGAGTTTGCACAATCCATATCTGAGCAACAGAAGCTGGGTAGGAATTTTCCCTCAGCCTGGCTGAGAGCAAGACCAGGCAGATCTGCTATCCAGATATGGGCCTATTCCTGTAAATTCTCTGTTTATCTCCCCTGTTGTTATGATTCAGAACACTCCAAGATTCAGCTCCAAAACCAAACTAGAAACAATTCCATTTTTAGAAAGCCAGGACTTTGTTTAGGAAACCCCAATCCCCCTTGAAAACAGCCAAATTCACTGATAAATGATTGAGAAACCATGTAAAGTAGATACAATAAATCCCTAAACTACAGTTCAATCTAAACTTTATTATTCTGTGTTTGTTTACTTATGCAAAGAAAAAAAAAAAAAATCACAACTCTCAGAGCATGGACAAGCACTTCCAGGATATAGCAGGAAGAGAACGTACCTTTCCCCCCAGAGTTATCACTCTTACAGCTGCTTCCCTTTGATTTTACAATTCTAGCCAAATTATCCGTGTCCAAGATAAGGAGCATGGATGTTGCTTGTAACCTCTCATACACTGGGACCGAAACAGCACCAGGAAAGGAAGGGGACACACCTTTCCTAGGGGCCATCATCATTCTCACAGCTGTTTCCTCTCTGCTGTTACAACACTACTCCGATCACTCAGACACACAACAGGGGACCGCGGTGCTCTTTAATGCCCCATCAGAGTGGCCTGATCAAACCCTGATAAACCCTAATGGCCCCGGCCAGCCTCACCTGGGGCCTCTGCCCGTGAATCCATTTAAGCTCTGGCCTGAAAGTTCAGTTGCTTTGCCCCATGTTTTAGGGGGTCCCAGTTCCAGCTCAGGCTGTAGATCCTGTTGACAAGGAGCCTAGCTCACATCGGACCTCACCTTAGACTTGCCTTGTCCCTGTAGACCTGTCCAGCCATCCTCAGACCATGACTGACCTTTATTACCATCACCCAAACTGCAGTTGGACTTCCCGATCAGCCTTGCCCCGTCTCGTTGCTGTGAGCTCAGCAGATCACCTGGAATTTGGCTGCCTCCAGCTCTGAGCCCTGGGCCTGCTCCTCTCTCTTTCCCCAGGGACTGTGGGAATGGATCCTGAGTGCTGCTGCCCTGGGTCTGTGTTATCTTGCTCACCTCCCCACTCCACACCTGCACCCTGGCTCACAAAATATGTTCTAAATTTGCCATGAAATGGCAATCTGGTTCATCCCGTGCTGAGCTGTACCTGCAGACTGCTCCTCCACCATGATTTCCTGACACTGCAGATATCTTCCATCCGATGTCAATAATTCTTCATGATACACTTAAAAAAAAAATCATTCTGTGATGAGTTCTAAATACATGTTTAATTACAATTAAGGAGTAAAGAAAAAAGATATCCAGCCTAAGAACAAGTGCATGTACTGGGAGCAGCAGCCTTACAGCAAAGTGATCTTGTGTGGACACAATGAAACAAATCAATGTCACAAGGAAAATTATTGTTACAGCTTATTAATGACAGTCAGAAGCACTTTGTATCTTGATAGAGATGTAAATTTAAGTACATACATATTTTAACATACAAATTCTTAGAAAAACGCATAGCCAAATAAAGTAAACATGCTATAAATTCTACTTTTTGTTCATTTGGTATAGGTAATTGGGGAACTTACAGGTACTACAATAACCTGTAGATAATAGATGGTGAAGAAATATTGAAAAAAAAATAAAGATCTTCAGAAAATTTCCATTCTGTTGCATAAAAACAAATCCCTGATTGCTAGAAATCTTCCTCGGGCTAAGGATGACTCTCCTTCTGATGGAAGGTTCTGAAGGGAGCTCCCCAAAGCAACATTCTCAGACTAAAAAAAGGCTCTGCAGGTGAACCAAATCTCAGAATTATAGGGGAATTTCTCAATCACTCTAGCAGTCAAAGTGCTCCTGATACTTGTTATCTGCAGGACAGCCTGTGCTGCAGCTGTTTCGCAGGAGTCAGAACTCCCCAGGTTTCCGAGGTGGTCTGTGCACAAGGATTATAATAATTACAATATTAAAAACAAACAAACAAACAAACAAAACAAAAAAAATCCAAAAAAACTCCCTCACCCCCCACCAAATTCCAAGAAAATACCTAACAGGAGTTTTTTAGAATAAATCATCCGATGTTTCCAACCTGTGTTGTAGCTCCGGTGGTGTAAGAGCTGATGCTGCCAGGACATCTAGTGGCACACATACGTACTGCCCAGAGAAAGAACATTACTAGAAAAACAGATTTTTTTTTTTTTTCATGCTTCCAGATATTTCCTGGTACCAGTCCACGTTTCTTTGGCTGTTGGTGAGATTTCTCTGTTTTTTTACCTAAGAATATACAAGGGGGAAATGAAATTGTTAGAAAAAAATGTACAGGAACATCTGAATCATCTCTCTAAATAAAGATGGGACATAGTATACAATCTTGATAAAATAAAGGTCAAGGTCATTGATTTTTCTCTCCCTTTTCACCCTCACTTGCCTGGTCCAGTCCAGTTATTTATCTGTCTCTAGACAACAGAACTTGTACAGCTGAAAGGGAAAATCAGACTGTCTGAGTTTTGGGAGCTGAAAGCACAACACTCCTCACTGAAAAATTAGATTATTGTCATTGATGGCTTTCCATTGCATAGTCTTTCAGTTAGTTTTTTTTTCCTTAGCAATGTGTTAACCAAAAAGCCATTTTAATTGTCCCTATTCATGTTCACTTTTCTTCTTGTGTTACTCTCATTTTGAGCAACAAGTCATAGAAACCAGGCCCAATCTGCTTTTTTTTTTTACACATCTTGTAAATGTGACTACAACTATGAGTTTATATAGGTGCAAAATTGTTTAAGTAGGTGCAAAACTAATCCAGTAAAGCAGCAGAAATCCCTTTGTTTGTTACATATTTTTCTGGCGATATTCAAAATCAATACTTTAACCCCAGCTTTAAATAGAAAAGCAATTTTCCTGTTGTTTGGACTACCTGATGTTCAGACGTCTGCTGTTGCCATAGCTCCCAGGAAGAAGCTGGAACTTGCTGGTAGATCCACGGCTGAGCTGGAAACAACCACTTCACCCCTCCCTGTAAACAACCATCCCACATCTCCCTGTGGACGATGCTGCAGGGCTGAGGTAGGAAAAGCTTCAGTCTTTTTTTTTTTTGGGTTTTTTCTTTTTGGTCTCACCTCACAGAGGCTGGTCTGAGGGAGGCTCAGGGGGGTCCTTTTGGCCAGTGTCCCCCTCTGAGCCCCATGGCCATGGGGGGACACAGCACCCAGGGGGGACCCCTCTGCCAAGGGGGTCCCAGGGCTGAGGAGGGACCCACCGCAGGGCCTGGCTGCTGTCATGGCCCTCACTGAGGGGTCTGATCCAGCCTGGGGGGCACTCTGAGCCCCATGGCCATGGGGGGACACAGCACCCAGGGGGGACCCCTGTGCCAAGGGGGTCTCAGGGCTGAGGAGGGACCCACCGCAGGGCCTGGCTGCTGCCATGGGCCTCACTGAGGGGTCTGATCCAGCCTGGGGGGCACTCTGAGCCCCATGGCCATGGGGGGACACAGCACCCAGGGGGGACCCCTCTGCCAAGGGGGTCCCAGGGCTGAGGAGGGACCCACCACAGGGCCTGGCTGCTGCCATGGCCCTCACTGAGGGGTCTGATCCAGCCTGGGGGGCACCGTGGGGAGCAGCCTGTGCACAAGGGGAGCCCAGCAGAGCCCAGAAGGGCCTCAGGGGGAGAGAAGAGGGCAGGAAACGCCTTCCCCATGGGGAAAGGCTGAGGGAGCTGGGGATGCTCAGCCTGGAGAAGGTGGTGTAGAGACCTCACAGCACCTTCCAGGATCTGAAGGGGTTACAGAAGCCGGAGAGGGACTTTTCTGCAGGAACTGAAGTGACAGGACAAGGGGGGAGCGGGTTCAAACAGAAAGAGGGAAAATTCAGTCAGAATATTACGAGGAATATTTTCCCTGGGAGGGCGGTGAAGCTGTGGCACAGGTCGCTCAGAGAAGGCGAGGCTGCTCCCCGGGAAGCGTTCAGGGCCGGGTTGGACGGGCTTTGGAGGCAGCGGGAGGTGTCCCTGCCCGGGCAGGGGGTGGCACCGGGCGTCCCCCGCGCTCCGCCATCCCCAACCCCTCCGTGATCCCTGACAGGACCCGGCCCCGCCCACCGCGGTCACGTGACGCGCCCCGCCCGACGCGCGGCCCGCCTGACCCGGAAGCGGCGCGCGGGGGACGCTGACGCTGGAACAAAGATGGCGGCGCGCGGCGCTGGGGCCGTGCCGGGGCTGCTGCTGCTGCTGCTCCTTCTCTGCTTCTTCTGCGCGGGCCCGGCCCGCGCCCGCGTCCACCACCTCACCCTCAAAGTAAGGTCTGCGCCGCCCCCCGGCCCCGCTGGCTCGGCCCCCGGGTGCCCTGAGGGGAGCGGTGAGGCCGGCCCGGCTCCGCGCACCTCCCGCGGGCCGGGATTGGTCTCCCCACGTCTCTATTTTCGTTCTGCTGCGTGCCCCGAACCTTCTTTCTTTTCGCTTTTCTCTGAGCTCTCCCCATGCGCCTCAGCCCGCCCGGGCCCCGCCTTGTTGTGCTTTTGCCGTTGCCCTCCCGCTGCCTCTGCCCGCATCCCGCAGTCCCGGCCCGCTTTTCCCGGCTCCTGTTAATAAAGTCGGGGGTAAAGCGTGTGAGGGGCCTCAGGATTGCAGCAGTTTGAGGCTGCAACTGCTTCACGTTCTGTTAACAGCGGTGTGGTAAGGGTGAGCTGAGGGACAGGCTGCTGAAGGTGGATTTTGGTTGAGTTTCCTTTCAGCTGTGTTCGGCAGTGTCCTGTCACTCCGAAGGGCGTTTGGCTGCAGCTGCTTTGCCCTAACCAAGCCATTGGTAGAAGCTGAGGAGACTGATGCTGGCAGCTTTCTGTTTCGGTTCCTTAGACTATTGGATGGGCTTTGAAGGGGTGATGTGTTAGGCTGGGACTATATTTGAGGGAAGCTCGTTGTTGACCCTGCAGGTCGGGGCAATGCTGTGCTCTGCCTCTTGTGCTGTGCCTGAGCCGCTGCCCAGCTGTGGGGCAGAGGAGCTCTGCACTGGGGTGATGCCTTTTAACGCTTCTGTGGAGCTCCTGGAAAGCTCCGTCAGTCTTCAGGATTTAAATTTTGTTTTGGTTGTCAACCACAGGCAATATTCTGCCAGTAGAAACATTGGAAGGGATAATAAAGTGGTAAATGACTGGGTCCTGCATTGATGTGCTGTTGTAGGAGTTTAGGGAGAATCCAGGACTTTGCAACCTTTGGGCTACAATGACTGCTGGAGGTGTTCATGTCTTACTTGTGGGAAATTCTCTAGATCATGTACTTGTTTAAAGTGCAACCACACGAACATTGTTGTACTTTAGGAGAAAGACACTTTTTCCTCAAGCAGTCAGTTAGGAGGCTTGTGCTGGTTGCATCATTGTTTTGAGGAATTTGTGACAAACACTGGAGGATTTCTCCTGGAGTGATTACCCTTTAGTAGAAGACTTTCCAACTTGCCTCAAGCAAATGCTCTCAGCATCGTGGCCTTTAGTCCCTATTAGGGACTGCCTGGATCAATTACCGAATCCTGATTGTTTTTTTTTTTTTTTTTTTTCCAGTCAGAATGGGGTATGGGTTTGGTTTGCAGATGTTTTGTGCAAGCTGCAGCAAGGCTGCAAGAAGTAGCAGTGAGTTAATGCCTCTGCCCACCTGCTTTATAAACAGCTTTATTGTTAGAGCAGTCTCTCCCTTCCTCCTTCATCCCCTGCTTTACAGCCTTTATGTAAACATCAGGCTCCAACAACTGAGTCCTTTCACAATGAAAACTCCTGTCGGGTGTTCTTGCCAGTGGCTCCTGCTTTGCTTGCAAGTGTGCATTGACACTGAGCCAAGCTAAAGGCCACAGTTTTGTGGGAGTGTTTGATATTAAATTTCCTCAAACAAGCTGCTATTCCTTAGTTGAGAATAGCTTCATTCTTGTATCTTTGTAATTACTGTGCCAATGTGAAGCTTTTTTGTTGTCAGAAAAACAAGCCACAGTCTGAGCAGTTTCCAATTCTAAAAATAACATTTTGTCTTTATAAACGTATACAAAATAGGTGCATTTTTCTGCAGTAGAGAAATGATTTGTTTGAATTTTGCTGTTAGACTGACCTTGCCAGAGAAGTTCCTCCTTAGTAGCAATTGTTATCAGCTTCATTAGTTTAATTAGATATGTAAAAAAATCCCAGAACACCTCAACTAACAAAGCCTACCTCCTACCAAATAAACCCTACAAAACTTGGAAGTTATAGAAGACCAACAGAAACAATCTTCAGAGGATTCCAGAAGTAGCTGTAGTTGAAACGTTTCTCTTGACCAAAAAGAAGGCCTTTGTCAGATGTGGAATTATAGAGAAGATGCTGGTTTTCAGTGGTTGCTTGTAAATACCTGTGGCCTTTAAATGTTGATGTGTTCCAGACTTCAATAGCTCAGGTTGAAAATACCTTTCACAATAATTCACTTAGTCTTTCACAAATTATAAGCCTTCCTGATAGTCTCACACAAATAATAAGATTCTTTCCAGGTAGGGGTCAGCACTCTCTAGTGGAACTTTCACTGCACTGACAGTGTGATCCCAATTAGGTTTAGGGTAAAATGGTAGAGAATATTTTTCTGCACATTCTGAGCTACAGAATCATGGATTCCACTTCCCTGTAACCCTATTCAAATACTTCAGGATCACTTTTTATCCTACAGGAGTGGGAAGAACTGTGGAGGATTTTTATGGAAACAAGCTTGAAAACTTTGGGTGTTGGTTTGACTGTAAGCTGTTAGTGATAAGTCCCAGATCATCTCTTCTCAGTAGGCCAGGCTTAATTTTAAATTCATCCTATGTAAATTAAATTAATGTGTATATTAAAAATTTGGGTGCTGAAGTATTCACTAGTATGGGTTCACACCTTTGTTGTAAACTTAAATATTTCTCAAGTCAGTAGTTGAGTGATTATAAATAAAAGCTGGGTTCTTTCAACCCCATTAGTAAGCCAATGTCTTTAGGCTGTCAATATGTGGAGCAATAGATGCTGTTGCTTGGTGGCAACTGGTGACAGTGTGTGTGTGTGGGATCACTTAAAGCTGAAGGATTTGTGAACTAAATCTGTAAACTTTAAGCACTCAAAGCTGAGATAAAGCCAGTGAGGAAAGTGATGTGTGTTGTATATTAATTATCTGCTGCTGGTGGGGAGCATATCAGTAAATTAGCAGAGGAAATCACTTCATCTGAACTGAAGAGCTCTGTGAGTGCTCTGAATTGAGCAGCTGCCTCTGGTCACATTTGCAAGGTACAAAACCTTGTGTCTGGATGGCACTGTGGCCCCCTCAGATTCACCCAAATCCTTCCCTGTGCAGATGGGGTTAAATACATCTGATGTGCCCTGTAAAGAGCCAGGATGAAGTTTCTGTGCTGGCTGGGAGGTTACAGGGAGTGCAGTATTAGAGGAACCAGGTGGGCTCTTGTTTCAAGCACATTTCATGACCTAGAACCTAAAGACAGCAGAGCTCTGATACTCTGTTAAACACAGCATCTGCTGGAAGCCCTGTGTCGCTTAACTTTTTTTTTTTTCCTCTTCTGAGCATCAAGGGATCCATCTGGTTATTTGCCAGGTTAACTTGATTCTGTTAGGGTGATCTTATTGCAGCTGGATTACAGGTTAGCTGTGTCAGGATTACTGTCCTGCTATTACAGTGAGGGATATTTATGAGTCGGGAATGTTTTGTTCAGAGGCGTCAAAATCAATACTGGGGTCGAGGGAGAGAAAGAACTTTTTGTTCTTGTACAGTTCATAGCTCAGTCTTCCAGGACTGTCTCCAGAACAGTGTGCCTTTAGCAGCTGACTTCTCTTTTTAGAGTATTCTGCAGTCTGATTATCTTTTCCTAGAAGAAAAAGGAGGAAGCAACGTATTTTAATTTTTTTTTATTGCCAACTTGTTATATATTTTAAATTCCATTTCAAATTTGCTTTTTGATTTATTTTTTATTTCAAATGTTTGAAATTCCATTTTAAATTTGCTTTTTGATTTCTGTTGCTTTGTTTCTGCTTTTCTTCCAATTAATGACCCAGTAGGTTTGAGGGAACAGCTGCAGACGTTGGATGTGACCTTTTGTCATCTGATGTGGCAGCTGTGTGTGACGTCAGCTACTTTTCATGTGAGGTTCTTCATGGCCTCCTTATTAAAAAAAAAAATTAAAGCTCACTGTACTTGAACCTTTATCAACTGAGCTGGGCATGAGAAGAGATCAATTGCTATGATTTCTTGTCAGACTGAGAGGAAATTATTCTGCAGCTAAACTGGGAGTAGTGGAAGGAATTAGATTTTTCCTGCTAGAGAAACTAACCCAAGTAATTCTGGTTTTGGTATTTATTATCTTCTCATTTTTTATTTATTTTATGCCAAAAATCGTTGGGAGGTGTGGAACTATATATAAAACTTTATTTTCACACATAGTTTTCCAGTGTATTAATATTTGCCTTTCCAAACCCTGACCTGCCTAACACAGATGATGTGAGATGGTGACAGTGCACTTGCTAAACACTTGGCCAAACCCCAGCTCTTGGTTAGGTAAGACCCCCAAAGTCTATTTCCTCTTCAGTCTGTGGCAATGACAGTAGCCATCATTCAAACAGCAGCTCTCTTGATGTGTCTGCAGTAACTTCGGGGGATTTTGCTGTATACTTTTTAGTCAGTGATGCCAGATGTTTGAATTCTTCCAGAATTTTGCTTACATATTTCCCAGTAGCATGGCCAGCCAGTGAGCAGAAACATGTCTGTTTAAAGTTCTTGCTGTTCAGGTAATTGGAAAAGTTGGTCCATTCCGGTGAAATAGTAGGTTACATCTGAAATTATCCTGAAGAAATTTGCTGTTTGCATAATGAGATATTTTGCATGAATATTCAAGTGTCAATCACTCACCCTGCTTCCCCTTTGCTGCAGCAGATGACTCTGCATCTGTTTATAAACTTGCTTTCCATTCTAACAGGATGATGTGAGGCAGAAAGTGCACCTGAATACCTTTGGCTTCTTCAAGGATGGTTTCATGAGAGTGAATGTCAGTAACCTTTCCCTGAAGCCAGCACCGAGCCCTGCTGACATGGACACTTTATCAGTGAGTTTCTTCCTATGAAACCTCCTGTGAAATTTTCCTCCACTTGTCTGAGGTGTCAAATCCAAACTTGTGATGCTGTTGGCTTTGCTTCCCAGCATGAGCCAATTATGAGGATCTGTGTATTGAGATTTATCTCTGAGCACTCTCCATTCTGCTGTAAGGATGAATCTTTAACTTATGGGATCCTCTGCTGAACTCACTGCACACATCTATAACTTACATTGAATATCAATTTCCTAACAGTCCTCTGATAAGTTTTTTCAGTGTCATGTTGCATTGTAATTCAGCTTGTGATCATGGTGTCAGTAGCTTTCCAGAACAGTGACAGTCTTATTTTAATAGAACTCTAATATTAATTACATGTTATATAGCATGTTATGTTAGGGGTTTTAATAGAGAGACTGAAATGCTGGATTAGATAACAGACCTGAGTTCTTATTCTGCTGCACAGTTTCACCTCTTCATTGTTATAAAGTATTAAATGTTTTTGTCAAGCGAAAACATGTGGAATAATACTGAAATAAGTTAAAATGTTCAGAGACAGAAGGTACTCCAGATTTAGTTTGGGTTTGAATCGTGATTTTTTTTTTTCTGGGTGGATATGGACCTGTTTGTAACATTTGAATGTATTTTTCTGCCTAATTTGATGATGAGAAAATACCTGAATTCCACCTTAAATGTAGGTTAACTTGTTTAGAAAGCAGTATTTTTGACTCTTTAAGTAGTGGTTTGGCTTCAATTTGACAGATTCTTCTCAATTGTCTCATAGGTGGGATTCAGCTTGGATCGAACAAAGAATGATGGTTTCTCCACTTACCTGGTAAGAGTAAGGGAAGTGACCTTGTTTTTCTGAGATGGGACATTTCATAGTCCACCTGACTAGGAATGGCTGGAAGAAATAAAAAAATAAAAAAGGGGGACTTCAGACACGGGCAGGATGAATTTACAATTTGCTGGACTAAGAATGGTAACCTCTGCCTGGAGGGGAGCATGTCCAGAGAGCACTTCAGAGATGTTTTGTTCATGTTACCAGGATGAAGAAGTGGATTATTGTATCTTGAAGAAAACTCCAGAGCCAGATGTCTCTGTTGTAATCCTACTTCTGGAAATCCAAAATAAAGTGTGAGTAAAGAGTGTACAAGACAATTTAAAGTTACTTCTTCAGTTGAAGATAATGTCACACCTTTTTTTAGGGCCTTAGAAAGCTTCTGTGCGTGTAGGTTGTTTTTTTTGGTTTGTTTTTTTTTTTTTTTAAGGGGTTACATGACAGTTGAGGGGAGATGAGTGTAAAAGTAAAATATCTGCAGTATAAAATGGTCCAAGAATTCTTCCTGCATATTGGACAGTAGGCAAAAACACCTACCTTAATTGTGCTGAATGAGAATAATGAGCTTTGATGTCTTGGGTCACTTTTACACTCAATATACAATTTTATTGTTTGTCTTGAATTACCTTTTAGTATGGAAGTACTTTCAAGTCTGCATTGCTTTCTTTTGCAAGAGCTCATGTGTGGTAACATAGTTTCTAGTGAGACTCTGCTTTACCAAAGCTGAAGAAACTTGATTTTCTTCATTTCTTGTATTTCATGTAGAGGTAGAGTGTGACTTTTCCCACACTGATCAGTTCTGCTGTGAGTCATGATCTGGTTCTTGCCTGTTCTTTGTAGTACAAAAAACAAGTCAAGACAAGTTGATTTTCCTTTATTGGGTATATGGCTGTGACAGATAGCCTCTTTAAAAATGTTGGTTTACTTTCATTTTGTAATAAAAGCTTTTTTTTTTTTTCTTTAGTATGAAAGTACGGTTCTCTTCAGAAGCTGCTTCTTTGTTACCTAAAATTTTATTTGTATCTGAGGAAAATGGTACTGCCTTAAATACCAAGCTGCTAAAAACTTCTGAACTGAGCAGTGATTCTGGTCAAAATCCTCCAAAGCCCAATGAAAATGCAGGTGGCAAAGGTAAGCCAGCTAAACCTGACCTGTGTGCGCTTTCAGTGCTGTGCATCCAACACTGAGTTGTGGTCACATTCTGGGTTCCCCTGGGGTTAGAACATAATGTACATCCTGTGTAAACCTGTGCACAGAGCTGCCTGTGGGGCTGGAGTCTCCTGCTCAGTGATTTGTGTGCACCAGTCCTGTTGATCCATCAGAGGAAAATGAGTGTTGGAGGCCTTCAGTGCCTCTGAGAAGGGGTTAACAACTTGTTTGTCTTTTGTCTGGCAAAAAGAAGGCTAAAGGGGAATTTTATGGCCACCAACAACTAGTTGAAGAAAGGTTAGGAGGACAATGATTTCAAGCATTTTTTAGTAGTGGCACACAATGTCTGTTTCCCTTTATTAAGTCTTGGATGTCTCAGATGGGATGTTAAGACAGAGAGTAAGTAAAATAAATAAGATACCTTTCCTAAATAAGTATTCCAGTATTGTAGCAGATCATTTGTGCATTCCAGTCTCCATATTTTGTGGTTTAAATGCTTGACAAAGTAAAACCAGTGCCAACATCATACAGTTGACACCAGGTGTGCTTTGAGTCAGAAGTTGGATTTGTCTTCACAAGTCCTTTCCAGTCAATATTTGTATGAGTTTGTGTCTGTCTAAAGAGTTGAACTCCCATCACTTAGAGACTATGGGGTGGGAGGAGTAACTGTATCAGTAATCTTTCTAGGGGGCACAAACCTTTGTCTGGCTTCCAGACCAGCAGACAAAATAATTTTATAATCTCAGCTCTAATGGGATTAGCTCATGTTATCCCTTCCTGGCAGAGTTTAGACTTCAGATCAGACTGCTCAGCAGTCTGATCTGGAATAGTCTGAGTCTGTCTTGGCCTGTCACGTTCACAAGCTTTGATACCATTCAAAAGCTTGGACAGCTGTTGTAACAAGTCAAGAACCAAGGGTGGATGGCACTGGAGAGAATGGATCTGGCAGCTATAGTTTTGCTTTCTCTGGTGTAAAAAGTGTAGCATGATTGTGGACAGTGCACTGAGGTGTGGGAGCCAAAAGCAAAGCTCAAGTCTTGAACTTTTGCTTCCTGGTAGAAAGGGATGGCCTAATGTTTGGAAAGCTTCTTGTAGCAGTAGAGTCAAACTGTGAACTTGACACGCTGCTCTTCTGAAGGCTCCTGTCACCTCATGTCCAGAGGAAATGCTGACCTGGCAAGTCACCTGGGCTTTTGTGTTTTATTTGTATTTTTACTGGGAGCTTAGTGGAGAGCTGTGAATTTATTCCTTCCTTGTGGTTAATTAGGATTTCCATATGTTTGTCAGGCCACGTATTAATGTTCAGATTGAGATTTGTCAGTGAGATTAACAGTACTTAGTCATAACATAAAAAATCAGAGCTGTAGGTTGCATCTGCTTTAGATCACCTGCCTCTGGTCACTCTCACCAGAGAGGTTGGAAAGATTTCTGGGGTAGATTTTTGCAGGAGGTGTAAGAATAGAGAATCATATCCTGGCATTGAGGATGCATTCAGAATGAATGCTGGCTGTGGGAAGAGTCCTCTGAGAATAAGGAGAGACTGGGAAGACATCTCTGTTAATGATTAGCTGGGAAACTGCCATGCAGACAAGTGTAGGAAGATGTGAGTAAGGTATTGACAACGTGGTTTCTGAGGATGTCTAAATGCAAACACTAAATGTACCATTAACACTTTTATCTCTAGATGAGAAGTCCAAACGAAGTACAACATCCTCCCAGGTAAGAAACTATCTGGAGTTCTCTTTCACAAAAACCTGGGGGAATATTCTAGTATAATGATAGCAGAAAAGTGGAGAATATTTGCTGTTGCTCTCAGCCTCCACTGTAAATATACAGAATGCAAATTTGATTGTCTGGTTGATGTAGCTAAATGTTTTAGCTACCTGCTTAAGGAAATTTAAAGGTTTCTTTTCCTTTTCCCAGAGCATGGTAGAACAAGAACATCCTGTACGCAGTGAGGAAGGAACTTTTTCATTTCAGGTAGGATGTCTGCCAGTGTCTAAACTCAGTTCCTTCACTGTCCTACTTTGGAAAAGTGAAAGTCTAGGGTATAGATGTCTCTGATAGCAGCAGTCTGCCTGAAAATTTACTGAGCTAAGCATCATGATGGAAATCTTTCTTTGTAAGTTGTGGGAGCTGCTTTCAAATTTGCTTTATTGTGACACTGTTCTAAATATCAGTCTATGAGCCTCAGCATATTAAAGTTTACTGTGATAGTAGTGCAAATTGCTGATAACAAATAGCTGTGACCTGACTGATGACTCAAGGGGAAGATGCTCTGTATGAAGCCAAACTAATGCTTTGTTTGAGTGCCCTGGTTCACTTGTGATGGTTGGTTACTACAAACACATTTGAAATTCTGTTATCTGACACATATCTCATTTCCAGAGCTATCACAATTTGCATAGTTGAGGGAGGAACAGAAAAGCTGCAGGGCAAGTATAATAAAAATTTTATGCTCTGCCATGTCAAATATATGATACTTGTGGTTATCTTCTCTCTGTGGTGAAGAGAGTTTAGCACTGACACTTAACAGGCTTGGATTACCAGAGTGCATAATCCTGGATAGGTGCTATGATTTTGCATCTGGAGTTCTGTTGAAACTTCCAGATGTGCTGCTGTCCTCAGAGCAGTCTGTTTGCTGAAGGGAACCAGCTGACCTCAAATGACTGACTTGTTTCATGCTTCAGTAGACAAGACTTCCTACCAGGGCAACCCTGTTGTGAATGAGAAGAATGCTGACTTCTCTATTCCTTTTTTTCAGTTCTTTTTTAACATCAGCTCGGATAAACAAGAAGGTCTCTACAGCCTGTATTTCCATAAGTGTGTTGCCAAGAAAGGGTCAGCTAACGATCAGCTGCTGTTTAGTCTTGATGTGAGTATCGCTTCTAAAGGATAATTAACTTGTTAGCTTAGACTGCAGCATCCAGCTTCCATCTCCAGTTTGTAACCAAGCACACACTGCACATGAGTGCACATATGGGGTGGGAAGTGATTCAGAGTTGTGTGCCAGTCTCTGCAGTGACATTTCTGAAAGAAGTGACTACTGTAAAAATAATTAAAATACTGTTTTTGCAGAAATGCCTGGAAATCTGAAAGCTGAATGTCAGCAGAGTTAAGTTTACACAGTTGTGACCTGATGCTGTAACGAGATGGAAGTTGCAACAGCTGCTTGTGTTTTGCTGCACTTAAAAGTCACTTTTCTCTTTATGTGATTGCAGATATTAAGGCTGTTGCTGCAATGTAAATTGTTGGTATTTGAATTCAGTGTTTTTGCTTTTTCTGGCCTAATTAAAGATGTGTTTTTATGGTGTTAGATACACATCCTAAAGGCAATATGTTCTAGCAAATGCCTCCTCTCTTTTGATGTACAGGGGTTTGGTCCTGTGTGGTTTTGGTTGTTATCAGAGCTTGGGCTTTCCCTTTTTTCCCTTTCCTGTGCTTATGCTGGTATATAATGAATCTGGTCTGATATGAATCCTCTCACTGATTGAGATATCTCAGCCACATCAATCCCTGAGCTGCTTTTTACACATTTATGTTAATACTGCTGCAAGGGAACATGGAGGTGATAAAACTTAGCAGCCCTAACTTGACTCAGACTACTTCAGAGTTGCTTCTGAAATTAAAGGTTTAGAAGACCAGCTTTCCTGAATTGCTGTGTGGGTCACTTTGACCCACTGAAGAAATTGGAAGGAGAACAAAATGAGGATGATTGATCTGCTGGAGTGTACTTAGAGATGCAGGACAGATTCAGTACTTCAAACCAGACTTGCTGCATGATTTTATTCAAGTCCTAGCACATATGACTAAGCCACTTAGGGGTATAAATAGAATAATAAATAATGCTTCTGTTTTTTCAGTCCCAGGAAAACAGGGTGGCAGCCCATTGTAGATATTGTTTCCGAATCAAAGGTGGGCAACTTGTGACGTTTGCTAGAGAGAACAACTATTCTTTGGGAAAATTACCTCCCTGAATTATGTTGCATAACTGAAACATCATTTTCCAAGGGGATTATTCTTGTGGGAATAGTTTTACAAAATGTTTTGAGATTCTTGAGGATAAAAAGTAGGTTTTGTTTTTTTTCTCTGAGACTCATAAGTCAGAAAAGCTCACATTAAATGAGTGAATTTGATTGTGAAATGTAATTGTTAACTCAGTTCTTTGACAAAGTGATTTTTTTCCCAACTGTACATGTAACACACCTTTAATATTCAGATAGATATTACGGAAAAGAATCCTGAAAGCTACCTCTCAGCAGGTGAAATCCCACTGCCAAAACTTTACATTTCCATGGCTCTCTTCTTTTTCCTGTCTGGGACTGTATGGATCCACATACTTCGTAAACGCAGGTAAGTTCAGTGTCTGTGACAAGTAGGGGCCTACCTTGTTTGTTTTTTATTTTCCATTCTTCTTCTTGTAATGCCCAATTCACAGTCAGTTTTGATCACGTAAAAGTCCAAATCTGGATCAGATTTTTATGTTTAATACACATAGTTTATATCTGAAAATTGCTTCAGTCAATATTGTTGTTGCAGGCTGTCATTTTAAACTTCCCAAATGTCATTGGGAAGGTTCTGTAGGTAGTGTGCATATTGTAGCAAAAAATAGACAGGAAATTCCTATAGCTGATGTCAAAAGGAGATGACTTTGAAAATAATGGAAAAAAATTCATCACTTTTCTTCTATGGCAGTAGAGAGCCATAAGGTGATTGTGGTTTGAATTATGTTTAGCAAATTTTCTAATTATAGTTAAGATATATATACATATATGCAGGATATTCTTATTAGTTAATAATTTCAATTATTCAAGCAGTAAGAATCAGGGGTTTAGAACATGAAGTTGAATAGTGCTCAGGATGTGGCAGAAACTTGGACTGCAGCATTAAGGGGAATATTTTTACACTGATGGTCAGCTTGGCCTGGAAGCAACTGCTTGACACTTACAGATTTTAAAGAAATATCCTCAGAAACTGAAATTTTTAATTCTGGCTTTTAAGTAATGCTCGTTTCTTTTTTTTTTCTTCCAGAAATGATGTCTTTAAGATCCACTGGCTCATGGCAGCCCTTCCTTTCACCAAATCATTGTCCTTAGTCTTCCACGCGGTGCGTACAACATCCTTCCCTGAAGTTGTTCAGCTAGGAAGTAGAACTGTGAAATCCAGGTCATGCTGTTAGGGAAATCTGCTTTGGAGAGAGCACAGTAGGAGGGAGAACTGGTCTTATCGCTGAAGCATTAGAACTGAACTGCAGCTCTTTGGTGGAAGTGTTTGTTTTCATCAGCAAATTCTTACTTTAAATACAGTTGAAATCATGGCCTGAAATGTTAAAGCAGCAAGGGTTGGGGGTTGAATGAACTCCACAAATTGTAATGTTTTGGCCATCTGCTGTGGGCCTGAATGCTTGGACTGTGCTGCTGCTGCTTCAGCTCCAGGACTTGTAAATATTAATGAATGAAAACTTGTTTGTAAAATTGAAAGGCAAGGAAGTATTATGGTGTATGGTGATAGGCCTCACCTTATCAGCTCTGAGACTTCCCATAGATAATGTCTCTGAATTGTGTTGACTTTCCACTGGAAATATCTCATGAACAAAGGAAATGGCAAGCATTTGATCCTTCAGTATTTGTGCCTCCTTCAGTATTTTACCTCCGTGCCCATGGTTTTATACCTGCTACAAATATTTTTCAAGTGAATCTGGCTTCCAGGGAAAATGAAACTAGCAAGCCTCTAGTCACCTAAAGCAATTGAACCTGAAAAAATGAATGAAAAAATAGGTTCCAACTGCAGTTGTTCCACTGTAGTTAAGCAGGGGAGTTGTGTGGGAAGGATGTAGATTGTACAAGATACATCCACTAGCACTTAGGAAATAGAGCAAATGGAAATGATCTCATTGTTGCTAAACAAAAGTAGAATGTGTTGGAAGGAAGTGCTCTCTGAATGTGACAGAGCTGGGTTTGTACACATTGTCTAGAAAGTGAAACTGGCAGTGGATGTGGAGCAGACCTGTTTTAAAGGGTGGGGTGTCAAAAAGCAATTTGTAAAGTGCTGTATTTTCTGCTTCCAGATCGACTATCACTACATCTCTTCTCAGGGATTCCCCATCGAGGGTTGGGCTGTTGTTTATTACATCACTCACCTGTAAGTATGTCAAAAGATTGATGTGATAGATTCAAATTGCCACTGGGGCTGTCTCCCTCCTGTACAGAGTGGGAAATCTTTGTTCTCATGCAGACCACAGTACCAAAGACTCAGCAATCAGCCCTGTGTGAAGGGGAAAGCTCCACTTACAGAGGGCAGCTGCAGAGAATTGGCACTCTGTGGGTGGAGGAGTAAAAGGATAACAAATGCTTTACTTTTCTTTGTTCATACTAATATTCAAGTATCTAATTTGCTCCTGGTGTGAATGGTAAGTGGATACAGCTGTCAGTATTTGCTGCTGTTCACAATGGTGAATGGATGACTCCCCCAGGAAAAGATTGCATATATTTTGAATGAAGCCTAATATTGCTCTGTGATACAGAGTTGTAGCAAGTACATCTGCTTCACTGTTGTGGGATGGATAAGTGCTTGCCAAAATTATGGATGGGGAAGCATTTGTTTGGGTTTGTGGCTTTATTGGCAGTGGGAGAAACCTGGGCAGAAGAGGAAGTGTGATAAAATAAAATAGTCTCTCACTGCAGCGTCTGTTTCTCTTCCAGACTGAAGGGAGCTCTTCTGTTCATCACTATTGCCCTCATTGGCACAGGCTGGGCTTTCATTAAACACATCCTGTCAGATAAAGACAAAAAAATTTTCATGATTGTCATCCCACTTCAGGTGAGGACTGAGCTGATACTTCTTGTCTTGTGGGAGTGCTGCTTGTGCAAACTGGAAGAGGCTATGAAAGCTTCACACAATACCACGTAATTCTTGCTTGTATGAGCCTGTTGGCTATTTCCTAGTCCAGAAGTTATTGTTGTTCTCCCAGGTTTTCTCCCATATTGATCATGAGATAATAGTGATCAAACAGTTTCAGCAAATTAAAACTGGCTGTAAGGAGTGAGACAAAACTTGGGCTGGAAAACAGTGCTGAGTAAGTAGAGGAATGAATTAAAGTTGTCACTGCTGAAATGCTTGCTGAATGTCTTAATGAAGTAAAAAAATGGGAAGAACAGGACTTGTAGGTCTGTTGGGTCTGAGGGAAACATTCCCAGTGGTTCAGAGTGCTCAGTGCTGGTCTCCTACTTGAGGAACTGAAGTATATAGGAGAACAGCACTTCTGTTTGTATGTAGAAGAGATTTTCTGCCTTTACAGGTGCAAGCCCTTAGCAGAGGTATATATAATTAGTGTTTGAGGCTCTTATAGAGCTCAGGTGTGGAGTAAAAAAGATGGGCAATGACCAGTCTGAATTTAGTCTGAATTTAACCACTCTGGTAATTTAGAATTACATATTTTCGCTATTGCCTGTATGTGCCACAGACACAGTCCTGTGTCTGTGTTTCAATAAGTAAATTTTGTTCTATTTTGTCTCAACTGGTACATTAGATTAAGCACAGTATATAACAAAATAACTTTCATACTTTCTGAATGTCAGCAGGAATAAGTTCCCATCAGTTTTATTTCTGTAAATCTTATGAAGGTGCTACTGAACATGTAACTTTTGGATATAGAGCTGTAGAAAAATGACTGATGTTACTGGCTGGGCTTTTGCTGAATTGGCAGCCCACCTGTAGAGGCTCCTTGGGCAGTTTCTAAACCACAACCATGTCTTGTTGTGTAGGTACTGGCAAACGTGGCCTACATTATCATAGAGTCAACAGAGGAGGGGACAACTGAGTATGGGCTGTGGAAAGAAATCCTGTTCCTGGTGGACTTGCTGTGCTGTGGAGCCATCCTGTTCCCAGTGGTATGGTGAGTTGCTGGATGTGGAAAAACATGTGAACTAATGGGCATCAACAGCTCTGCCAAAGCACAACAGCTCTGTGGTCCTGTGGAGTCGAGCATTCTATTAACTTCTACAGACCTCATCAGCATTAACATTTCAGTCTAGTGCTGTGGAAGATGCTGTTTTTGGGGATGTTAGAGTGGGGATAAATGAAAGTGGGTAGCAGTTTAAATGTGGCCAACACTGTGCAGACTGTAGGTGCTTTTGAGACTTGGAATTTTGCAGAAGTGTTGACTCTCTAAATTGAAAAATGGGATTTGACTTCACTGACTGAGATGAGATACTTGACTTCTAAATTTCAAAATAGTAGTGTTGTCTAAGATCAGGGCTGCCTTCAAGCAGAGGAGCTGCATGTTTATTTGACTGTTTATAAGAAATAATCCCACAGGGAGCATTTCCCCGCCCTTCCTTCCACTCTACTTGGCAGGGAGTAATGTTGGTTATATAAAACTCAACCAAAACACAGATAATTCAGATAAACACTATTGTTGCTGCTTGCCAGTTAGCCAGAACATTTATCTTCTAAATGCATTTTGTCTTAATTGGATAAACAGCTGGATTTAAAGGAGGATATCAAGGAGCTTCTAGCTCCTTGGTTAGTAAACACAGAATATTCATATTTTTCTCCAGTATCTCCATTATTTTTTTCTGAAATGCAGATTATATAAATATCTGATGGCATGTCATCACTCCAGAATGCAACTCTTGAGTGTTTCAGAGGTGTAGCTCAGTAGAGGGAAATAAGCTTCAGTTTGACTTGTGAAGGTGGGTTTCAACTGGTCTTCTCTTCCCCTGCACACTGCTGGTGGCCTTCTGCCAAGACTGGGAGATGTCTTCCTAGAAATTTGCATTACCCACGTGTCCTTCCCCTTGCTCCAGTCAGAATGCTTCAGCTCTGAGGTTGAGGAGCATTTGGCAATGGTAAATAAAAGCTGAGGGATATTAACTTCAATTGCAGAGGGACTCAATCTCCCATGAGAAAGGCATCTTCTGCAGTCACAGTTCTTGCTACCTAATGCTGGGATCACCAACCTAGTGAGGTGTTGGTACAAAACTTATTTCCATAAAGGAATTGTATCTGAAGAACAAATGTGAGCTGTCTTGTAACTGTTTATGGTGTGCAGCCAGTGTTCCTGCATTGCCTTGGTGCCAACATAAACAGGCAGTGAAGCCCCTGACATAAAATCCTGCCCCTTTTTCCTCTGGATAGTGTCACTGCAGCTGGTGGGATGACTCATGTCAGCAAGGTAACTAAGACTTGTCCCCTGAATTTACATTCCTGCAGGGTAGTTTCTGTTACATAAGTTGCCTATGTAGACATGTAAGCTGTAATCAACTATTTAAATGGAAAGACCTTAAAAGAGCAGTAAGATGCCAAATGTTTGGCAGCACTTTGAAGAGTAGCTCAGCTTAATTGTGCATTATGCTGGAAAATGCCCCAGTTTCTCACTCTGCTCCCTCCCTCCTACAAAGCCTTCTGTAGGCTGAAGTAGGTTTTAGCAATCTGCTTTCTTAATCCCAGGGAAATAGAAGTACTTGAGCTGACTGCCTGAGCTGGGGGCATGAGGGTGAAGTGTGTGCAGTGCTAAGCACAGTTAATTATGAGCATACTCCAGCCATAAAGAGCTAACAAAACTTGTCAGTGATCTAAAGGACTACTGTGAAAAGAGAGTGTAAAACTTATCATTAACTTATTCTTTATTTTTTAGGTCAATAAGACATTTGCAAGAGGCTTCAGCAACAGATGGGAAAGGCAAGTAATCTGTATTCTTTCTCCTCTTTTATGCTATGGGTTACAATGCCAGAATTTCAAAAACGTGATGCTGATGTAAAAACTAAACTAAGGCTATACATCTACACTGCATTAGTGCCACTCTGCTTTTCCTCAGTGGGCTCATGGGAATAACTTTTGGAAAATGACCTTTTTCTTGTATTGCTTTAATTATCAGAACTGCAGTGTATAACCCATTCTCTGCTACTTGCACAGCTCTCAATGCTCAAGCTAAACATGGCATCTATAGTAAATCGTCTTGACAGATTTGCCATTTTTTCCTCACTTGAGTGTTCAGAAACAGAACTAGAAATGAAATCCAGAATTGCTGACTATTAGCCCAAATAGACACTTATTTCAATTTCTATTAGCCCAAATAGACACACTTATTTCCATTTCTGCAGAAATGTATTCCTGACAGAACAGAGGGAAATAAACCTCATTATGAAACAAAACATAACTTGGCATTCAGTATAGCCCAATTCCTGACTTGTCCATATTTGTACAGCAGCTCCAAGGGCTGCCTGTGGAAAGTGAAGTTATGTTTATTGTAGCACTGAGAAGGAGCTGATGGATGGAAAGGCCAAATGTGGCTGCTGTAGAGTGTGCTTTTCCTGCCTTATCTGCTCATTTCTTCCGGATTAGTTCCTTGGATACATGCTATGGAGCACAGAACTGGCTTCCTTGGAAGCAGGCAGCTACTGTAAATGCAGGTGAACCCAGTGGGAAGAAATGATGATGTCTGACTCCAGTTCAGAAGGCTGAATGATTTCTTTATTATAACTGTACTATAATACATTAATATACTATTTAAAGGAGGTACTACAACTACAAACCTACTTTTTCTAACTACCACATCTAACTAACTCACAACTCGTGACCCTCTCTCCAGAGTCCAGACACAGGTGGATTGGCTTGGCCGTCAGGCTCAAACAATCCTCACCAGAATCCAATCAAGCAATCACACCAGGTAAACAATTCTCCAAACATATTCCACATGGGAAAAACAAGCAGCAGAAATAGAGATTGTTTTCTCTTTCTTTCCTCTGTGCTCCTCTATGAAAAATCCTGAAAGAGAGAAGAATGTGCCTGCCACAGGCATCCTTTTCCATCTTCTGTCATTCAGTGGTTTACTCTTCAAAGCTTCATTTGTAGAAGGTCATTTGTTGGCAAACAGCCTTTTAAACTTCAGTCACATCTTTCAACTCTTGGCTCTCCTTTCTGGAATTCTGTAGCCAGGTCTGGATTCTTTTTCCAGCCATTTCCTTGGCTTTCACAGACACTTCTGCACTTCACTGCTGATTGTAGATAAAATGCAAGGCTGGGTACCGAACTTAGCTCTGTGCAGACCATGGATTAGTTCATTTTTTGCCATCTGTTAAATTTAAACAATACTTATGGTGAGCCTAGCATGCTTTCTTGATTTTCCAAGCTGTTAAAAAAGCCACCAAACCACAACCCTACAAGTTACCTACCCCTAACCTAATGGTGGAAAATTACTAATTTCTAATAGAAACAAATGTTAAAAAGGTCAGTTATCAAAGTCTAATATAAATGTTATTGCTAGCTTTGTTATCAGTGCGTTCACTTGGGTTCAGTGACATTTACTGATGGATTTGTTTTACCTTGTCCACTGAGCATATGTTCTGGAGTATTTATGTTCTTACCTTTAAAAAGTCTGATAAGTTCAGATTTCCTTGAAGCAGTCTTTCTTCTGAACCAAGGACATGAACATGTCAGGCCTGGTTCTTAGCTGGGTAGCTGTGGAGCTGACTGTCCTGATGGTGAGCACACAGTAATTAATGCATATAATTAAGACAGAAACCCTTTAGATCTGTGTGGCCCCATGTGATCCCCGTGTACCTACTTTGGTGGTTATCACAAGATGGTGCTGTGGAGTTTGATAAGCCTCAGACATGCTGGGAAGGAGAGAAGTGAGGTGGCCAACAGCAGGGATATTCAGTGTACAGGCTCATCCTATCCACTCTGCCTCATACCAGATGAAATCCAGATCTGAATAAATCCAGGCAGTTCTATAGGATGCACCGTGGTGTGTAAAAAATGTGGAAGGAAAAAAAAAATGGTAATTTGAGAGGAACTGGCTGTGTCTTTACAGCTAGTCAGTGCTATGCACAGTAGCACTTAAGGTCTGGTTTAGTCCTGTGTTTTGTGTTGTTCGCCATGGGTGATAATGCTCTTTCTCTTGAATGTTGCTTGTGAATCATCTACTGCTGTTCCCAGCTTTACCTACTGGTGTTGCCGTCTGTTTTGCAAATCCTGCAAGTTCAGTAACTGTGTATTCAGGGGAACTTAGCAACTATGTTATGCTACACTGATAATAAAAGAATAGCTAAGGAATGGATTTCAGGGAAAACATTGCACAGGCTGAGAGCAGATTGTGGCTGCAGTGCTGGGACTCACTTGTGAAACACAATCTGGTTGGACTATTTAGAGGCTGTTGATAGGAGCCCACGGGGAGCAAGTGAATGGCAATGTGATGCCAGAAGCAGAATGTTACCTAGTGCTGTCATGCTGCTAGTGTGTCTGGTTGAGAAAACCGAAAATGATTTGGTTGCACTATAAGAAAGTGAAATCATTAATGTTTGGCTTATCAATGAATTCTCTTCACTAGAACCACATGCTCTGCAAGCTTCCTTTGGAGGCCCTGTTCTTCAGAGGGGCTGCTCAATGTCTCAGCTTCTCATGGGAATAAAAAATAGAACTAGTGGTGCTTAGTATTAAATCATGAGCATTTTTTTTCCTTTGGCAGTTTAAAGCAGTTTTCTCCTGAAGTAGTAAAAGTTACTGGATCTTCTCATATGCAGATTAAATGTCCCATGGTTAGAGCTGGCTGGATTGTGTGCAGACACTGCTAGCTGGGCTGCCTCTGGCCTGCTGGGTTTTATTGTCTAGTCAAGGGCTGCTTTTCTCTTACACAGCCTTCATTAACCTATAGGATGTATTGGGGAATTATATACTACACAGTCAGTAGCTGTTTTTCCGGGCACTGAGTCTTCTGGTGACATCCTTGCTGGTGACAAAGACCTAAGGAAAATTATTTTTTCTTCCTTGCATCTGTTAGGACTAACAACTCCAGGACTTTATGGCTCAGTATCCTGGTGGTGTTTCCTGACTGTTTATTGTGACCTCTTCCAGCTGCTTTTCCACCTGTTTATTAGGTAGCAGTCCTCTGGGTCATGTGGCACCCATGACTGGAGTGTGACTGGACTAGGAATGAAACAGACTTGGATTTACCAGACCTTTAGTCTGGGCTTGTCATAGGCCTTTGTTCTAGCAACCTACAATTAATAAAAAAGACTGTTATAAGTGGCACTGATTTGGAGTCACTAGCTAATAGTAATTTTAACTGAATTAGATATTTTAAAAGAAAAGCAAAGTGGGAGAGCTAGAGAAATGGGTCTAAAGCCATAATTATCCAAGGAGACCTTACATACCCATGTGCTATGGATTGCTAGTGAAGAGTAGGCAGGGCACAGTGCTATGGCTGAGTTTGAGCTGCCTGCTGGTTTGCTTTTTTCCCTTGAAGGTGATCTTTAAAGCAGTATATCTGACCTACACAGGCTTCTTATCTTGCACAGCAGTGGGCGTAAACATCCCATTTTTAGAATCTTTTTTTCTTCCCCTTTTAAAATCGCCACCTTCAGACTTAAGCAAGTGCTTAGCTACACCTTTGATCTGTCATTATATCTTCCTTCAGGTGGGAGCCTTTGCTCTCTGTCCATTTGTAGATCTGCATTGCAAATGTCTTGCAGATTTAAGGAAATCAGCCTTGCAAACTGACCTAGAATTGTTCAGCATACAAAGCTGCTCAGCTGCCACCGCCTTGTTTACATGCATCTTGAGAAGAGAGGGAGTATATATATTATTTATACATCATTTTTGTTTGAAGCTCCAAGTTTTTGGTCACTGGACCTCTCAAGTCTCATAGCACACCCTTGTGATCATATCCCCTGTTGTTTGAGGGAGGAATGGGTTGGAATGCAGTTTGTTCTGCTGGTACCCGTGTGTTTGTGATGAGAGATGTGACATGGCACACTCCAATCATGGGTTGCTGTTTTCCTGGAGCACTGCAGTTACAGCTGGCAGCAGAATTAGGGGAAATCCATGACAGCCTGTTGCTCCCAGGCATCATTCATTCCCTGTGCTCTGTGCAGTGGGCAAATGATGATTAATGATTTCGTGCTTGCCCCCATGTCAGGAAAAAAACATTTGCAGTATTCAATGTCTTCCTGCTGCTGTGCCATGAAAATGCTGTGAACAAAAAGCCTGGTCCTGTGTGGTGCAGAGAAGCCCTTGCTTGGCTGGGCTCAGCACCACTTCCAGGTGCCCCAGAGACCTGTCCAGGGTTGATGTGGCAGCTCTGTGCTGGAGATTCAGTGCTTATCCTGTACTTTGGGTTTCCATCTGACCCTGGTGGAGCACTTTCGTGCCAAATGGCTGATGTGGTTCAGGACATTCAAGATTAAGGAGTCTGTGCCGCCTTCTTGGTGACACTGAGCCTTGCTGAATCTGTCTGACCTCTTCTTTCTGGTACAGGAATGCTTTTAAGCAAAGAGCTCAGGCTGTAGAGCCACACATCTCAGAGCTGCTTTTTCGAGAGTTAGATCTACATGTGCTGCATCACTGGGGAGAGCAGAAAGCTTCCATTTACAGTTTGATAATGGCACAAATCACATCTCAAATGCATCAGCATGAGTAGGGCAAGCAAAGCATTGAAAAAATACTCTCAGCTGTACCTTGAACACGTTCACTGGCTGCATTATGGTTTTTCTTTATGGATTGTATTGTCTGGGCTCAAGCTCCCTGCACCCTCAGCTGCAGTTCTGTGATTGTTATTACATACATATACTGAAAAGGTCGGATTTATTAATCAAAAGGCTATTGTGTGGTATGCAAGTCGATGGTCCAGCTTCTTTTTCCATCTTATGGACAGCCTCAATGTTGGAAATTAGCATGGGGACAATCTCAAAAAGAGACTGCTTATCAAAACACTGGGGTGTGCTCTGTTTTGATCAATGCAGATCAGGCTGTTGCAGGCACAAGCTGTTAAAGTAAATGGTGATTGAGAGATAAAACTGAGGGAAGCAAGGTATAGATGCTATAAATCTTCTCTGGAGGATGGCTTTTATCTAATTACTGTCTGTAAGAGCATGAATTAATTTCTAAAACCTTTGGTGGAAGGTCTCTTTTAAAATTGTTTTTCCCTTCTCTGCAGTTTAGTACTGTCCTTTGCAGAATGGTTATCATACTCAAAATATAAATTTGCCCAACCATTACTGCATGCTGTGATTGCTGCTGTGTTATCACAGCCTTACAGGTTAGGGTTGCAAGTGATTCAAGTTGTAAGTGACAGCTGCTGGCTGAGCCTCACTCCTTGTAAATGCTGCTGTCGCTGTCTGGGCTGCCAGGCTGAGGTGAGCAGAAATCTTGGAGTGTCCATGATAGCAAGACTCAAATAATACTGCTTAGAGCACATTCAGCCTGTGAAGAAGCAATTCACAAGCTGCTGATGCCAAGCAATGATGATTTTAGATTTTTCTCCAGAACAGTGTGTCCTGTAACTTTGAGTTGTTTTAAAAAAAACTGGCAGAATTTTGTAGACATGCATTAATGCTGACTTACGTATCTGATAGCGGAGAGAAATATTGCTGCAGTTGAGGAGAGTAAGTCAGCTTCCACAGGTGATTCCTTAGCCTTTCCCTTGGTGGTGGCTGTCTTTTTTTCCCCTCTCCTTGCCCTTCCTTTCCATACACAGGCATTCTGGATATGTGAATGTATCAATCTATGACTCTTTGCTATTGATTATCATGATGAATAGCTGAGATGTTGAGCTTTGCACCATCAGCTGGGAGAGGTGGAGTTATGACACTTCATTTGGCAGTCAGGTCTTTGGCTTTGCTGTCCTTTCATCCTGTGCAGTGCTGGAATGCAGCAGAAATGACTCCCCAGCTCACTGGTGTTGACTGTAGAGCTCTGCTAGACCGGCAGTTTGAATCACAGCTGTTGAGTTGGTGTTCCTTCAACCACAAAGCCTGGTAATTCTCCTGGCCTGTCAGTGCACCAACTGCTGGCAGTTCTTGAAGTTGGACGTGTTGAGTTCAAAATAGATCCTTCTGTGTGCAAACCAGTGTGTGGGAAATCACAAGATCTTCATGGTCACACTTAATGCAGTCTTCTTTAAATAGGACGATACTGCTTTCCTGTTTCACAATTCAGTGCACTTATCATGCATATTTACATGCTTTTATCTTTCACCAACTCTATTAGGAAAAGGTTTTAACTTTAGATCATCAGTCAGTTCATGCCTTGTGCTGGTCAGGTTGCTGCTCTTAGAGTGTGTCTGCTGGAGGAGGGTTTGTATCTGCCTTGAGATGTCTGTAGCTTTCAGTAGTATCCCAGGAACACTAAAGGTGAACTGGAAAGTGACTCTTGATCTTTAGATTATAAAATAGTTTTATAACAGGATGCTGTCTGTCTTCTCTGTAGTTTCTGTAGTGGGAACTTACAGTAATTTATTTGCAGTGGTGCATTTGACACTTCCTTTGCATAAGAAAAGCTGCTTTGTTTTTGTCAGAGGAGGTGAAGCATTTCTTAGGGAGCTATTAGCTCTCCTCTCCCTCATCTGAAATACTGTATTTTGCTGTCTTGTGAACCTGGAAGACCTTACATGCAAATATATGCAGCCTTTTATAAATCATTGCAGTGGGTGAGTTCTCTGAGGGGGTGCAGGTGAACTTCAGATCAATGTGTTGCACTTCCACATCTGATAAATACATTATGAGGACTTGGAGGGAATACCAGTAAATGTGTGGCAGTATTTTTTAACTGGCAACTCATGTTCATTGGCTCTGAACTGCATCTCTGTATGCTGTCAACAGATCTTGGACTCTGCCTCTTGTGTTGTCACAAAAGCATCAGTGGCCTGTGTTTGTAATCCTGCTGCACATGTAAAAGCTGACTCTCAGAGCAGAGCTGACAGCTGCTCCATCTGTTGTTGACCTCAGCTGGTTCACATGAGTGCTCTGTGCTCTCCAGCTGATGTGATGTGTGCAATACGCCCAGGTTTGCCTGGAGCCTGGGCTGGCACGTTTGGGGAACTGCTCAGGATAATTTCCTGTCTCACTTGTGAGTTGTGCCTGAGCCGTGGTAGAGGACCTTGCTTAGGTTTTCAAGTGCTTGGGCTGCTGTTCAGCAAGGTGCAGTGGTTCCCAGAGCTGTGATTACCTGCAAGATGCTCAGCTATAGGCATGGAGCAGGTCAGGGAGGGCTCTAGAAAAGACAGGAATTTTCTAGGAGGCAGTGTCAGGTGGAGTGGCCCTTCTGGCAGGAGACAGTGACAGTATGTAGTTGGCTGTACACAGGTAGAGGAAGGTTCTGTAATGCAAAGTGTGTGCATATAAACTTTAATGCAAAAGCAATCTCAGTTCCCTTTTTAAGGGTGAATTCACCCCAGCCTGGGAGTTATCCTGTATATGAACATGCCAGGCTGGCACTCCTCTGTACAAATCCTTCTAGCCTGGGATTACCTGAGTCCTGGTTCTGACCACTTGCCTACTCTGCAGACAGGCATCAAAAGAAATTGCCTCATGTTAAAAATTTTCTGATGGACTTTTGTGTTCTCTTGATAGCTGCCATTAACCTAGCAAAGCTGAAGCTCTTCAGACATTACTATGTCATGGTAAGTAAAACACCTGCACACATGCATGTGGGGAGCTTGGAAGCTGTTCAGGGCTTTTGATGGAATACTTGTTGGAATCTACTCAGCTGGTGGATGTGGTAGAGGCTCTTGGCACTGCTGTGCTTTGGCATCTTGGTCAACTGGCTTACAATCCTAAAAGCAACTTCCTTTTTTTTTCTCCTAATGGTTCTATCCTTCTGTCTCTCTTTAAATTCCAGCTATTTGTAATGCTTCCTGATTTCCTCTGGAGACAGCTTGAGCTGCCAGTTGAATTGATGGGCTTGAATAACATACTGTAAACTTGCTAAAAATTAAACTTGGGACCAAATGGTGCCTGGAGATGCATGTGTGCAGTTCCTGATTAAGTCAGTGGGAGCCATGAGTACATTTCCCAGGAGAACACAGGCTTCTTAATGATTTCCAACAGCCTCATTTCAGGCTCTCCTAAGTGGCAAGAGTAATAAATTACAATTGTGATTCTTGAAATTCTGTGAAATTGTAATACTTAAAGCATTTCCTGCTGTAACTTGAGTATGTTACCAATAGCTTGAGTTATTGGATGTTCAACAAGCAGTAGAGCCCTCAGCTTATATCTTCCATGTTTATTGAGGAGCATAATAAGGCTAGTCTGACATAACAGCAGTCTGGGAACTGCTGGAGCTATTTCTCTGGGGTAAGAAGGTTCTATAAGGCCATTGCTATTGTTCTTATGCTTTCTCCTTTCCCTTCCCAGATTGTGTGTTACATTTACTTCACACGGATCATTGCCATTCTCATAAAGATTGCTGTTCCATTCCAGTGGAAATGGCTGTACCAGGTATTTGCCAGCAAAGGAAAATGCATCCATTCCTTGATGTTTTTCTCTATTATTCTTTATATATAACTGCACAACAAAATTCCATAAAATGTTCCTCATGTTATAGTAAAACATCTCAAAGCACAATGCAGTACCCTGCCTCCTCTTGATTTTATCACTGATGTGCTTAAGGTGAAAGAATATATTCTTAGTTTTATGTTTGTCCAGCAAGGCTGCTGGATTATACATGAGATGTCTGAAAGTAATTGCATTATTGATTTTCAATCTTTCAATTTAAAAATGTCTGAAGGAAATTAATCAAGAACATACAAAGGTGAAAAAATTAGTCAGGTTTGCTCTGTGTAATTGAAGCCCGAGGGAGCCAGGGAAATAGGCTTTTGGTCTTCCATCTACAGGCTTTTTTTGCCTATGGACTTCTAAATACTTGGTTTCTTAACACATAATCCAGGTAACTGTGCAGGGAGTCCTTGGAATACATTAACTGTTGAAAAAACTAAGCAACATAGGGATGATTCCTCCTCACCCCATTTAAAAGCCAAGTCTTGCCATAGTTCTTTGAAAGCTCTGGAGAGATGGATAGAACTGTAGCTCTATTTAAAGTGACAGGGAAAACTGAAAGAACAAAGGATTTGACAGCCTTTAGCCTGGGATTAATGACAACCAGACAGGAATTATTTTATTTCTGCTGTGGCCCAGGCCTCTTGGCCATTAAACCTTGAACCTTATGAATGAGGAGCAATGTTTTGTGACCACAGAGCATAGCAGGGCTGAACTTCAGTCTCGTTTTTTCACTTGCAGCTGCTGGATGAAATGGCCACACTGGTGTTCTTTGTCCTCACTGGGTACAAGTTCCGTCCAGCATCAGACAACCCTTACCTACAGCTCTCTCAAGATGATGAGGATGACCTGGAGATGGAAGCTGTGTAAGAATCCCTTTCCCCTTTTATTTACCTCTTCACTTGATTTGAGAAAAGTAGCATTTAAAACAAGCTTACTTGAATCTCTCTAAATCCTTCTGTGACAAAGATGAGGATCTGCCCACGTTTAAAGATGAGGTGTCAGGATTGGTGTGTGTAAAGAGATTTGTGGTGTGCATAGGAGCTTCTGATCTAGATATTGCAGTAGTGTGGAAAAAGCTGGTAAAGCTTTTGATGGGGGAAAAAGATGCCCATGAAAATGAGAAGTAAGAAAGCTTTTCATTTTAATTTAGCTCATGGAACATGAATGAGTTTTACAGTTCATCATTAATGCTTCATATTTAAAAAAACCCTAGGGAACAACAAAAATGACCCACCAATCTGCAGAACATAAGTAATAATAAATGTATAAAAATATATAATAATAAATAGGTGGACAGGGTGTAACATCCTTTCTGCCTTGGTGTTCAGCATATAGCTTTGCAAAAATTTATTTAAAGCAGAGCCAAGGAGATGGATTTTTATCAATATCTTCCCTAGTTTATTCCCTGCTGTGAAACCATGAGGCACCACAAATGCTTCAGGACCTGAGCTAGTCTGGGAAAATTATATAGCAGGGCTCAGGCTAAGTCCCTGTCATTTTCTTTGCAGTGGTTTTCTGAGGACTTAAAAAATGAGTGGCATTTTTGAATGTGTAATTAAAAATGCCCTAAGAAATTCAGCCTACCAGGAGTGTTGGATACAGCTTTATGTGCCCTAGAGTCTGCTGCCTTAATAGGAGCAGAGCTAAACTAATCCTTTGGTAGTTATAAGTTTGATGCATAATTGCAATTCATGTAGAAGCTTAGAAGCCTGTTCCTAAGAGTCTTTCCAGTTTGGCAAATCTCCTTTACCTGGGTGAAATAAATCAACACTGTTTTTATTACAGAAGAAAAAAAAAGTCCAAATGTGTTTGCTGTCATAGTTAGCTCAAAAAGAAATGAATCTTATTCAAAAATTGCTACAAGGAGGTTTGAACTATAGAATCCAGACTGAAATGTCATGTAAGGAGTTTAACTTCTCAGAAATATGGCTAGTAACAAAGATCTTTTTAAATGCATAGCTATTTTTACTTTGGGTCTAGAAAAATCTGTCATTTTTGCAAGTGGAATCTAACTAGTGGGTAGTGACCTTAAAATCACTATCACTTACATGTGTTATCACTATCACTTACATGTGTTTAAATGGTTTATGTAAGAAACTGGTCTCAGTTTGGAAGCTGTTTGGTAAAAAAACCTTCACATCAGGAAGTCGCTGTGTGAACTGGCAGGATTGTGATTGTACTAAAACAAGCATTTTCCCTTTTTGCCTGTTTTTAGAGCGAATTTCAACTTTGCATTACGTGCTTAATGAATTTTTGCTTGTGGGGGTTTTGCTAGGACTAATAATAGGACACCTTTCAAATACAGTGATTTTAGTCAATTGAGAAGTTGCTAAATTTAGGAGAATCTGCCAGAAATGAACTGGAGAAAGTTTAATGAAGTAATTCAGTGATTTACATCTCATCATGAAGTAGACGTTGCTAAAATCTCACGGGTTAGAATTCCTTGTGAGCCTTTTCCTAGTAAGGCATTTTGCTCTTTGCTTTGGGAGTTTCCATTGTTGTGCCTTGTGGGTTGTTCCCCTTAGCGTTGCTTGAATTTTCTGATCTGATTCACCAGAAGTTTTTTTCCATTTGGGCACTTGGCAGGGTATAATCTGTGTCTGGTTCTCCCTTCCCCAGCTCCATCAGGACGGTTATGTTTGTAGATACTTAAAAAACAGAATTTGTACACATTCTGAGACAGGTGAAGCACTGCAATGAATGTGTACTAAATTTCTCATTGATTTGGTCTTGCTGGTCCTGTTTTTGTCTTCATAAATATTAAATGTTGTTTCTGTGGGGAGGAAGAAATACCCGGGTTTATTTGAGCAGGTGATTAAGTATCTGTCAGTGTCCTGACTAACCACTGCATGAGTGTTTTTTCTTTCATGTGATAAATACCCACTTGTCTTTACAGGCTATGGCAGAAACTAAAAACCTGCAAACTTCATGGTGTTCTGCTATGTCAGTTTTATTGTTATTTTCCTCTCCCAGAGGGTTTTTGTTTAAAATAAGGTTCTCTAAAACAGAAGCATTCAGTTCCTTTAGACTCAACATTTCTGTGAGCTAGCAGAGGGGAAAGCTGTGAGGTTATCAGACCTCTTTTCCAGGCTTGCTTGTCTTCCATGAAAAAAAAAAAAATAGGACATTTTAAGTGCAGCTCTGTAGTTTGGGTCTGTTTTCATGCATTGAAAATGATAGAAATCTCAGTCTGGCAGTAAATGCAAATATTGTTAAGGACACTGGAAATCTGGAAAGTTTCAAGAAAAATCTGCAAATTAGGTGTTTGTACAGAAGCAACACAAGGCACAAATCCTCTCTTTGTAAGTCCTTGTAACTCTCGGGAACAAAATACAAATCAAGAATAGCAAAGGTAACTCTGAGATCCACAGACTGTGCAGGAATCTCTTCAGTTGTTGCAGGCTCCACAGAAGCTGTCCTGGCAGGGAGGAGAGCGTGACTAAGGCCGAGCTAAGGACCTGTCTGTCCTTTTTCAAGCAGGTTCAATAGCCATTCATCATCAGCAAAGTGGCTTTCTGTGTATTCTGTGCTGGGCAGCCTCTTGAGTTCTGTCAGTACGTGGGCTCATCGCTGACAGTTTGTTAGATTAAAGTTCCCTGCTTGAAAAGGTGCAGCCACACTTGGCAGAAAGAGCTGTCAGGCTTCCAGTCCTAATGCCATTTCTGGGGCATGAACTCAAAAATATGAACAGTACAGTGGATGAGGTTGGGGTGAGGAAGGGGAAAGGAAGCATTTTTGTTGGTTTTTTTGTTTGTTTGTTTTTTAAATTTCATTAACTCAGTAAGCTGGCTTTAGATGCTGGATATCAAAATGCTCTTTAGTGGGTCTTGGTTGAGAATGATGTTCATGCATGCAGGGAGGTTAAGATATTTCTACTGGAGGAGGGATTGCAAGAGAAAAAACTATTAATGGTTTTGTTCTCAAGTTGGTATATCCAGCTTACTCAGTGTGTGGTGACTTTGCTTCTCCTTAACCTAAAACAGCCTCAAAACAGGGAACTGTTGTGGTAACACTGATCTTAGCTTATGCCTTGGGATCTGGAGTTTCTCTCCGTGACATGAGGCAGCTTATTCTGTGCTGAGATTTGATGACCTGCTTGGTTGCTTTTCTCTGCTTTCTCTCAGGTTGTGCTTCATGGCAGACTGATTCATGGTGCTCTGCATTAGCAGTAATTTTCTTCACCTAACACATCTTTTGCTTGCAGAGATCAGCTTTTTTGCTCTATGGCTGATCAGTTTTCACTCCAGTTTACAATAGCTTGTAAGGGCTGGCTGCTGCCAGTATTGCAGTGTTTCTTGTTGGACTATAAAACAAATAAACAGGAGAAAAGGGTTGAAATCCGCCACTGTGGAGACCTGGAGATACTTCTGAATGTTTAGCCATTCCTTGATACCTTGGATACAATGCAGGAGAAAAATAAACCCCATGAAATCTCTGCAGCACATACCACTGTGTGATGGAGTGCTTGGGGAGCTCCTTCTCTGCCTCATTGGTGACAGATGCCCCTCTGGCAGGCACAGAAATGCTCTCTGGAGAGGGATGGTTCAGTGAGAAGGATTTGTTGCATTTTAACTGCTGCTGATTTGTGGGCTGGAAAAGCAGTTGAGCAGACTGCAGGTGAGGAACATTTCTGTGCTGTATTGCAGGTCAGAGCTGAAGTGCTGAGGACAATGAGGATTTCAGTGTGCTTGGTCTTAGTGCAGCTACCCTTATTTCATTGGGCACTAAAATGTGATGACTGGACTGATTTTGAGAGCAAGAGGAATTGCCTGTTATACCTGAACAATCTGAGGGACTTGAGAGCTACTTCATGCACTTGTCACGAGACAAGAACAGTCTTTTCAGCTCTTCAGATGGGCTTTAACCTTCACTGTTGGAGAATCCACACAGAAATCTCCCCCAGCTATTTGCTGGTGCTGAGGGGGACACAGTAAATGGCCTCTCTGGTAGCAAAGGATGTGACTTGATCTGCCTGCACTTTCAGTGTGTAACTCTCCCATAAACATGGGAAGTAGATCATTCCCTCCTAGCTGTAACCTTGCATTACTTCTGTCACCACCTTGGTGTGCAGTGGCTCTCTAATGGCATTAGAGTGCAGTGTGTGCCAGGTGGGATCTTCCCAGCTGTGAGTCAATCGCTGGGACTGTTTTGGTGTCATGCATGTGTGAAATACCTCTTCATATATCCCAGTGCTTCTGCTGCTGCATTGCTGTGTGAGATGCTCGTTTCTGCTTTGTAGTTTATGGTAATCTTCAGCTCCTCCCTGAGGAATGGATACTTAGCTCCTCTTTCTGTAATTATGAAGTTGATTATTTCTGAAGAGTAAACTTGGTAGCTGTCTTGCTGCATCCTCCTGTACTTTTCAGACTATTACTATAATTTGCCAGAATCTTTCTGCATTCTAGTCTTGTTCTCCAGTATGTAACTCTTAGTGTCTTGTGCAGATTTAATAAGCAAGTTCTCTATTCCATTACCCAGGCAATTACTGAAAATACTGAGTAGAAGTGAACCCAGGACAGGCCTCTCTGGAACCACACTCAATGTTCTTACATTTTTGACAGGAAACCATTAAGTAAATCTCAATGCATACTTTTCCAATTAGTTATCCATCTACTTTAGTTTTGTCTAGCTTAAGTTTCTCCAGATTTTTTTCCTATCTGACTGTGGGAAACCTTTATCAACAGGGAGAATTTCAAAGATCTGCATGCCTCTGTACTGATTAGTTTGATCTTGTCTAGGAAATGTTTACTGATTCCATATTTCTCCTTTAAGCAACCTGCTTACTTTTCTCTGTACTTGCCTTTTTTTATTTTAGTAAGGAAAAAAGTTATTTGATCTGTACTCTTGTGACCCTTTCCTATAAAGCCCAAGCTCATCTAGGCCCACTCTAAAGTGAGAACCAGTGATGATCCCAGTATGGCCACTGCTGGAATGTCACTGAACACAGCAGGCTGAGTAAATTATTTTTACAGTACATGAACAGAAGCAGGGATCTAACATGGAACTAAGGGAAGAGGAGTGTTATCTGAAGATGACTTCTCCTCTTGGGGTGATGCTGTGGAGATGTTGTTAGCAGCTCTGATCAAATAAAGCACTCTGACATGGTAAACAGCAGGTGAAAGTGCTCACAGACCAACAGGGGCAGCTTTGAATAGGACAGGTCTGTGTGTGCTTCCAGGCATCCTCTGGGAATGCATTGAGCTATTGGCACTCTTACCTTCAGCATGCAAAATAACCTTTGTAGCATGTTTGTGGGGAAAAAAAACCACCTGTGTGGAATGAGAATCACACTGTGCAAAAGAATAAAGAAAATGTGTCATGCATCCAAATTGCCTGTTTGGTGTAGCAGAGAAAAGCTGAGCTGAAGAGCTGTTGGAGAGCCAAGGCAGTTCCAAGAGGAATGGTGCTGTTCTGCCTGGATAAACAGTTTAGTCTACCTCAATTGAATGGGATTGTGGGACTTTGTAGTTCAATGGTCAGATTGCCATGACAAATCCAGACTTGGATGGTACAAAAATGATAACTTCTCCCTTCTGTTTTGTTGCTATTCATTTTGTTATTAAGAGGAACTGGTGTGCATTAAGCTAATAAGGTTCATCTGGGGCACTGTGCACTGTGTATTTGTGTAATATGTTGTACCTATTAAAATGCAGAAGAAAGTCACAGAAGTAAGGATGGTCAGCTGCATAGTAACAGGGGGATTTTAAGTGAACTGCTAAAATTTAGCAAATAAACACCTGGTTTAACTATTTTACCACCCCTGTTACCTTTTTTGAAGTATGAGCCAATATTACTTGCTGCTTTAGTTTAATGATAGATGGGAAAGGCTTTGAGGTGCTTGAGGACAGCAGCTGTGCTTCCAACTCCCATCTGTGCCGTGTCAGGGTGGTACAAGAGATCAAACATGGGAACTGCTCAGTGTGGGTAAAGAGATGTGAGAAGTGTTGTTTGATGGGTGTGAGCTGTTGCTGAAATGGATTTTACAGTTCAAGGTCTGATGTCTGATGCTTCTCCTTTCTCTTCTAGGGTGACGACTTCAGGAGTAATGGAGGGCATGAAGAAAGTCAAGAAAGTGGTGAATGGTTCAGCAGAGCCTCAGGGCGAATGGGAAAGCACAGCATGATGGACTGGACTAAGGCAGCACTTTCAGAGAAACTTTTTTAATTTATTAATATTACTCTCAGTGGAAAGGGAGCAACTTGCACTCCCCACCACTGAAACCGCAGAGTGGGGTGTGTCTAGGGAGAGCAAAGCAGTGCAGAAATGTAACTATTCCTTTGATCATAAGAAAATGGGATCTCCTGGTACCTGCAAGGAGCGTGAAGCTTTCCTGGGGATTTTGGGTAGCTTTTTTTCCCCCTTTCTGGATCGGTTCTTTATTCTGAATTGTTGCGTTCCTCAGAATGTGTTATACTAATGTGAAGAGGGATCTTCAGTGTGTATGTAAAGAATATATTTTATATAATGCTCATATATATACACACACACACTTGCTTTGTAACATGAATGCTGGGACTTGCAAAGCCTGTCAGAAGGTGGGAAAAGAAGATAAAGACATGTAAGTATTTTTTTTCTTTTTATAAACTCTCCTTTTGGCTTGGATGGAACATTGCAAAACAAATGGATAGGAACAACTGCAGTTATTTGAGAGACTGAACGGGTATTGGATCAGATGATTTCTGCCACTGCTCATGCAAGTGTGAAAGGTGATAAGTATCTTGTCTTATCCCTGCAGGTGTCCACCTGAACGTGTCAAGTTTTCAGATGTGTTGCTATACAGCAAATGAGTGGCTATTCTCCATTAAAGCACTAAGCCCATAGTGCAATAAGCATTTATGTACATTCTCCACTGTCCATGGAGTCGCTCTTGATTCACCCCCATCTGACAAGAAGTACACAAGAGATGTAAGACTGATGCTTGCTTTTCAGGGGTCTGCCTAAATGGTTTACTTTCAAGCTGTGACCCAGAGCACATTGGTTTGCTTCATAAAATATTTTCAAGGTATTTCAAAAGTCACTCCTTTCTGGCACAGTATAAACAGTACCAGACTCTCCAGTGGAAATCTGTCTAGCCATTTTACTGCAGCATAAATCTCTGGTTCACAGTTACCCTGAGTTACTGGGCCTCTCTGGATGGCTACTTGTACCTCTCTGGCTGTGTAGGATTAATAACTCTGCTGTTTGAGATGAGCTGAACTGGCCAAAGTGGTATTGCTACCAAAAACAGGCAACTGTAACTCCCAGTCCTAAATGGTTTTTTGTCAGGAGAGGAGAAGATTATGACCAGAACCTTGATGCAGAGTAATATGGGATCCTTGACTGTCAGCTGCAGACTTGCAGTGGAGTCTTAACAGACACATTCCAAAAATGCTGCATGTGTTTTCTCTGTAGTCCCTGGGGTTGTCAGTAGGGCAGTTGGTGGCCAGAGCTGTAGTAGTGAAAATGGGTGCTCATTTTGGGGGAGGATGGAAGTGGCTCACTGGTGGAATGAGGATTAGCTTTAACAAAAATAAATCAACCGTAAGTCACTGACCCACTGAAGCCTTAATATTCATGCAGACACACTGACATGTGGTGCTGTGGAGCCAAGTGCTTCTGCCAGGGTGTCAGGGAGAGGCATCAGCAGAGCTCTGGATGTGCCAGCATCACTTACAGACTCGTTCAGGAATTGGTTTTATTTTAGTCTTCAAGCTGAGAAGGACGATTTCCAGAATCTTGAGCCACTTCCTCATTCCTGAGCAGGGATTGTGGAGCTCTTGGTGAGCTGTCTGTACCAAGCCTTGCTGTTTGAGGAGCAGCATCCCTTTTCCCCATTGCCACTTCTTTTCCCAGGTGTTGGTTCTATGCACCATGGAGGTGGTAGAAACAAATCTACCTGCTTTGATACCTGGAACTGCTTTCTCTTCAGATAAAGCACAAGAAGAAGAGCATTTGTCTCTGGCCACAGAATCCTCTTCTGTTTTCCTCTTCAGCTGTAACTTCACAGTAATCACAGCAGTGATGGTTTGACTTTGCTATAATTGCCTTGCAGTGAGACAGTTTTAGTGAGAAGAGATCCTATACCACTAGAGAGGCTGTCTGGTGACCTATGGGCCTTTAGGCCTTCTGGAGGAAGAAAGCTACATATTTAGCCTGAAGTGTGAGAAACTTACATTTAAATGCAATACCTGGAAAAACTCATCCTCTGCAGTTACTCTATCTGTGATTCCCTGCATCCAAAGGGCTGCTCAAACAGGCTGTAAAGTTTGTAAAGTTTGTTCAGAGAAGCCCACTGAAGACTTGAAGTGTGTTGGCACTGAGGTATGTAAGGGATAAGGATGTGCTGTCAGGAACAAAGTACATCTGGGCAATGCTATTCTGGAGCCTGTTAATCCTTTTGTGAATGAGATGTGAAGTTGTCATAGGTGTGGCATTTCACCCAGAACCACGAAGGCTGTGCTGTGATCCCAGGGAACACTGAGCTGGTTCCAAACAGCTGCCTATTCCATACCTGAGCATCAGTGGAGCTGACAATTTGGCAAGTGCTGTTACCTTAATCTCAGGTTTTGTTTGTTTTTTTTTTTTTTTAATAATGCACCTTTTTTGCTAAAGTTGCATATGGTGTAGGTTTAGCTGCCAAGTCCCTGGCTCACCAGTCAAAGACCAAAAAAATGGGTCATTTCTTTTTGTCTTGGCAGGAAAAGCCACAGCAGTATTCTGGAAGTCCTTTTGTTACAAGAGCTTTTTCCAAGTTCAACCCTGAGCTTCAGCTGTCAGCTCCACAACCAGCTTTTGCTGGTGCTTTCTACGGGATGCCAAGCAGCAGGAAATGGTCAGACCTGAGCACTAGGAAGTAAAATCAAAGTCATGGACAAGTCAAAACCCAAAAGATTCTTATTGTGGCCATTTCCAAAATGAATTTTCTCTGGTGCAATTCCTTGGATCAGGACATAAAGTCTGTCTTGATGGATATGATGGATGGGATAGCAGCTGGGAAGTTGGAGGGTGGAGGGGATAGCTGCAGTTGTGCTTTTCTCCATCACAGCTGGTGTTGCACTGCAAATCGTCAAAGACAGGACTACTCCCTCCCCTCCTCCCCAGGCAAACCCACAGCTGCATGACTGGCACTGGTAACTCCAGGGCTTGGAGCTCTCCAGGCAGGATAATCAGTGCTTGCCTTTCACATGCTGATGGCTGCTTATCTGGTAGGAAGCTCTGCCTCTCACAGGGAGGGAAGGAGAGGAGCTGTTGTGGATTACAGATCGTTTAGGGATGTGCAGCTTTAGTTCCCTGCTTTTACTGAAGTGAGGAGCTGAAGCAATCGCCAGCAGTACCCAGCAGCAGAGTGACAGGAGTCCTGGAACAGCAGGTCTGCTGCAATGGGAATAAATGGTTTGAATGCTTTCCCATATGCTGCTGCAGCTGAGCACTCAGTCCCGTCTGCAGACAAAAATGAGATTGGTTCAGTCTTCACTTGTAATGCAGGTTATGCCCCAGTAAATCCCTGTGGATGCTGACATGCACATGCCACTGCTGCACTCCTCCTTCCTGCTGTAGCTGCTCAGCAGGCTGTCTTCCAGAGGAAGCCTCCTTGCAGTGCAGCTGCCAGACTCTTGCATTCTTCAGGCTGGAAAATGCTTTCCTTGATGGTTCATCAAGAGACATACTAAAAGAAAGCAAGACATAATGGGGTCATGTGGAACAGTGCTGCTGCCTGCTCGAGTGGAGCAGTTGGAGTTGAAGAAGCTACATGCTGTCCTATTAAGATGCTCTTTCATGTTGTCGTCTAACTGGGCGTGCTGTGATGTGTGCAGTGCATTGTTCAGTGTTTCTCTCCAGCTCAGTGCCCTGATCCTGGATTTCCATGCTGGCATGCCCTGGGAGAGCATGTGGTAAAAATTTGCTGCATTGCAGCATTTTGTCTGGAGCTCGTAGTGTGGAAGATGTATTTTTTCTAAGCTGAGTGGACTCTCTCTGGCGTGAGTGTGCATCCACCATGTGTCCTTGGGCACTGTAGCATTGCTTCTGGCCGTGAAAAGCCATGTCCTGATCACTCCAGTGTGCACATCTGGTGCAAGTCCTCTAGAAGATTTTTTGTGTTAAGTCTTTTTCCTTACTGTGTGTTCCTCTTAGAGAAAAGCAGCTGAGCCACTGACAATCAAATTGATGAGAAGGGAGGGGATTTTGTTGTTTAGTTGAAAACTGCCCAATTTGAAGCAAATACTGGGTATTGAGCTCTGAGAACTGGAGTTCTCTAGCTACTAAGGAGAGGGAAGGAAATCTTTCTTCCTTTAACCTACTTGGTTTGTCTCCTTCAATTTGGCCTGTCATGCTAGCTAACAGATTGCTGTCACTTTACAGAAGATGTTTTATAGCTCCTGTGTTATGGTCTCTGCTTCACTCATGGAGCATGTCCCCATTTTTCACCTGTGTACAAAAGTGAGGAGCTGTGGTCTCCAGGAGTGGGAGGTGCAGTGAGGTTTGAACATAGTGGGACTCACACTGAAGCTGTGACCTTGTGTGTAGTGTCAGTAGCCTCAGTGTTTTCATGCAAGCTGAGGTGGTGCTGCCCAGAGACACTTGACCAATGTTTCCTTGTGTTCCCTGGGGCTGATACGCTGTAAAACGTTCTAAATTGAATTAATTTGGCTTTTTTTTTTTTTTTTGTAGCTGCTGGATACAATATTTTTGGGCTGATTAATCAATTTTCCTTAGCAATGTTGGGAAGCTGTGCATTTTCTCTTTGTAGTGTCTTGGCTGGATGTAGCAGTGATCCAGTGAGAACTGCACATGATCTGTGCTCTCAAGTGGCTGGAACAGGATGTAGGAAAATACCAATGCTCAGGTGTTGAGTGGTGGAGGAAGAAAGTGGCTGAGAAGCTCAAGAACCCATTTATGTTTTGACTGCAGCAATCCTCTAAAAAGGACAATTCTGAATAAATATTTCCCTGTGGGATTTTACTCAGTGTTCTGCTCTCTGTGTACTAAACTAGACTCCAACCTCAACATCATCAGAAGCACTTCATCCTGTAGCCAGTGGAGCTGGTACCTGCTCTGTTAAAACAGAGTATGGGTCTAAATAGCTTCCCTTGCCCTTTAGGAACTATTAATAATTAATTCTAGATCCTCTTGTGTCATTAAGCAGCTTTAGGGCACCTTGTACAATGTAGCTTTGAATTCATTTAGTAAATGACCTCCAGAAGAACTAAAAAAGACTTTTCTGTGTACAGCAAGTTTCAGTTCTTGGGGTTTTGGTGACCTGTAAATATCCTATTTCTCAGTTCCTGTTCAGATGTAAAAATGGATTTTTTTTCAGTATTTTTTTAAACTTTATTAAAAGAACAGTAAACAGTATTTGAAGAGAAGCAAGGTAGAGACAAGTCAGGACAGTCTGTGTAACTTGGTTTCCCTGCTGTGATGCAAATGTATCAAATAAAGATTGACCAGAAAGAAGTTTTTAATGCATCTCATTTTCTCCTTCTGAACTGCCAACAGCCAAGCTGACCCATTGATCCCAAAGTGCATTTCCCTCTGCTCAGCTTCTATTTCCATCCATCAACATCTGCATCATGGATACAGGGCCAAATCACAAAACTTGTGTAGAAGACTTCTTTTGCAGGGAAAAGCTTTCCTGTCTGTGACCCAGTGAGGTTCACTGAAGTGCCTTTTCTTGAGCTCCAGGTGCTGGAGCTGTGCTTGTGTGTGCCCAGCTGCTCTTTTAGGTTTGTAAGCTGAACTTAGGCAATGTTTGTGGACTGAGTCTTGAACAAAAGTGTTTTTCCCAGCCCTGTGTCTCCTGCAGTCTCGGGAAGGCAGGAACTTGGGACCATCCGGGCTTGTTGCTGCTCTCCAGCCCTGTGGTCTGTGCATTCTCTGGTGTCAGTTTGCCAGGTGAGGGCAGACAAGGAGCTGGTGCTCTGAACCTTGGTGTCCAGATAAAAATTAAGGATAGAAGCATTTAAAGTAATATCTTTGGTGAATTTGGCCACACTATCTCAGAGGGGCAAGTCCTTAGTCTATTTTAAGTTACACTGATGGTGATTTGGGATGTCTGTAATTGTGTTCTTCCTGAGGTGTTGGGATCTAATCTTGCATTTCAGTTCTGCAAACTGATTGGGTTGGCAGGGATGAGGAGGGCACAGCATTCCTGTGAAGTGTTCTTCCTGATAATCCCTTATCCCTCAAAATCATATATCCTTCAGCATGAAATTCCAATCTTCAAGATGTTTCTTACAGTTCAGCCTGTGGTTCTCATCCTAGCACCGAGGGGTAATGCCAGAAATAGCCTCTCTTCTCTACCCTGCGCCTCCCAAGCAGCCAGTTCTGCATTGCCTCAAGCCTCTGGGTGGGTGGTGCTTTACCAGGGAGCTGAACTATAAAAAGTACTTGGAATTTGGTCTTCCTAATACCTCACTGCAGGTTGGAACAAACTTTCCTGATACAGGTGGCCGCTGGTTGTTGCACTGGAGTAGCCTAAATCTCTTTAATGAAGGTTTCTCCAAACTGAACATCCTCTGCATTTTCTGTCTGTTGTGTATTTGGCCTTAAAACATTCCTCCTTGGCATTCCCTGACAGCAGCTGAGACTCATCCCCAGACCTGCCTGCACTCAGCCAAAGGAAAGGTGGAATGTTAAGGGTGGAGTGGGTAAGGTGGGACTGAATTGTGGGAACACTCACTTGTGAAGGAGACCAAATGGAGTTACCAGTGGAAAAATTGATTCCTGACCATTTTCTCCAAGGAGACACAAAGAAGAGCTCCCAGTATTTGAAGTCTATTGCAAGCAGAGGTCATCTGGCAGACTTACACAGGGAGCAGAAGAAACAAAACCAGAGCTAACAAAACTTTCCTCAGTGTTCTGTCTGGATGTAATTTTGTAGGTGTTTTCCTGCCCAGGGGAGATAAATTGTTCTACCTGCACAAAGGTTTTTCTTCCAGTGTGTGAAATTCCCAGCTGTCTGATCATTTGCAGCTCCTCATTGCAGTCCTGGCTGCCTGCTGTCAGTGCTTTTGCTCCAGCAAGATTATCTTCATGACTGCAAAGAGCTGCCTTCTCCTTAAATTTGCTTTTGCCTTCCTTTGCTTTTTGACTGACAGGCTCTAATGAGGGGAGAGTGTTGTAGTGCCCTGTATAGTGAGTGGTCAATAAAAACCAAATTGCTTTGTACAGCAGAGGTAATAACACAGCTTGTTATTGGCACAGCTGATCCTGATATTGGGGCCCTTGGTAAGGAGACAAGGGCTTTCTTCTGCCTTAAATAGTAAAAAGGGCATATCAGCAATTCCTTTTCTCCCCTCTCATCCATGGAAAATGGTAATTGGGAGTGATGGGGCTTTGTTGTGGCTCTTCTCCCATGTGGGATATTTTCTGTGGGGTGGCTGAGATGGCTCTTGTACTCCTGAAAAAAAAAAACCAAAAAACAGGCATGTGAGGTGGGGTTGTTACAGGGCTGGCAGGTGGAGTAGGTGAGGATTGAAATGGAAGAGGCAGTGTGAAATTCCTTTTACTGCTCCCTCTTGGGATGATTGTGCTGAGCTTGGCAAAAGCATCCTTGATGAAAGGAGCAGTTAAAACATGGGTTACCTGTAAGTGTAGCAATAAGTTTGGGGTTTTTTTGTCCCTGAGGGCATTGCTCTGGGGTGCAGATCTATATGCCTTCAGTCCTGAGTCATTTGGTAAGGTGTGAAAATATCCCCCCAATATCCCATGTCCAGCTTCTCCCTGAGCATGCACCCAGTGCTTACCTGCAGGTGTGGCAGAGTCACTGTCAGTGCTCCAGCTGCTCCTTCCTGAGCTGCTCAGGATCTTTGTTCTGCAGGAGCTCTGTGAAGCTGGAAGGGATCCTCCACCCAGCACAGCTGTGAAGGTATTGATCTGCCTCTTCAGGAGAAGCCAAGCTTGTTCATGTTGGGCTAGATCTCATACCAGGAGGCAGCAGCCAAGTTGGAGGGGCTACAAAGAACAGCTGCAGTGACTGAGATGAAGGAATTGGGCAATGGCAGAAGATTTCAGGAATTAAAGCTGTAAGTCTGTCTAAGTGATGATTTAAAAAAGCCAAGAAGATGTAGCTCAGTACAAAACGGCTGCATGGGGGTAACCCACAGAAATGGGTTTGGAATTAGTGTGGCTGAAGGCTGAGCTGTGGAGAGGTGAGATGTAAGGAAAGCAGAGGAAAACAAGATGTTAGGAGAAACCTTTTGCCAATGAGTTTGGCTGCAAACAATCTCCCTGGAGAAATGGAGGCAGTTCTGTGTTGTTTTAGATAATCAACACTAGGCTGGACAAATCATTGCTAAATACACTGCAGGGAATGACCCCTTGTCAGCTGTGAGCTGGATGAAATGCCTGGCTCAGCCAATTTCCATTTGCTTATCTCAGTAGGAAATATATTGCATGCATAATTCTTGGTTTGGGGGTTCATTTTAGTTTTACTGTTAAACCTCATAGATGCCTTGAGTGAGCCTGGCTGCTCCATAGGAGGAACACGTTGAAATGAAGCTGCTTGGTGTGTGCCCTAATCTGTATTCTGAGTCAGTCAGGGTTTTAACAGTTGCTGCAAAATCTGAGCAGAAATATCTGCTGGGATTTACCAAACACACAATGCCTGAGTGTTGCCATGAATCAGAGCAGCCTTATGGGAGGCAACAATTCAAACTCTTGAACAGCAACAAAATGTGAAGAATAGGTACAGGTCGATCAGGTTGATTTTTGTATGTTTGAATGGTTTTGGGGATCGTTGTGGGTTTGTTTGGTTTGGTTTTTATGACTGCAGGGTAGGATTTGGGTGGGCAGACATCACTGTTGACTGCACAGTTTGCTTACAAAGCTTGCTCAAGAGACTTGTGTCTCGTCTTAAAACCAGAGCAGGTCAGCACCAGCTGCCCCAACCTCCACATGGCCTCAGCAGACAGACCCTGGGCACCGAGGGGCTGATGAGCCAATGTAGGATTCATGAGTATTCAAGGAACTGATTTCTGGTTTGTGGTGTGAAACCCACCACCACACCATTCCCCGAGCCCCCTGCAGGCTCAGAGCTCAGCACAGAGCAGACACTGAGCTGCCTTCAGAGCAAACATTTGGGCAGGATCGCAGAAGAGCTGGAAGCCACGTGATTTCCCTTTATTTTGAAGGTTCTTATAAATATGTATGTTTTCTAAAAGCTCTGTTCTGCTCCAAACCTCAGTCTTTCAGATTTAAGGACACTTCTCCCACAGATGTGGGGTCTGTTATTAAACCCCCTGCTGAAGCTTGGCAGCAGAGCTGGTGAGCAGTGCTCAAGTCACCTGCAGTGGGTGGAGAGCAATGTGGAGAACAGCTTCTCCAGCCCCTTCTCCAGCCCTGAGGGTGCTGGTGGATGTTGTTGAGAGTCTTTGCTGCAAAATGCTACTGCTGCCTCTGTGACTGTGATCTTATCTCACCCAGACAAAGTGCACAGCACTCCTCGCTTGTCCTTTACAAGGAGCCTTTTCTTTTCAGTCTGTCTAGAATCAAGCGTTGGCTCAAGGTGGCTGGGCTGAGCTCTGCAGGAGCAGAACAAGGGTGATTTCCCACTTACCAGCCGGAATTTGTGATGTGCCACGAAGGAAGATCGAAGGAAGATCCACAAATTCTCCTCCTGCTTGGCTTTGTCTCAGCCCAGGGCTGCCTGCAAACTGCAGGCAACGGGAGAACAGCTGATGAGTTCACCACAGCCACCCTTCCCTCTTCCTACATTAGCATAACAATCACAGCCCCAGAGGCTGTAAAGAGAATACAGGCTTTAAAAAATAAACTAGAATTTAACAGAGAAATTAATAGCGTGGCAAATTGTAACGCTGAGCGTGCCGGCTGCGTGTCAGTGTCGAGCGACAGCTGTACGTGCAGCCTTGGCACAGTTTGATTTCCAGACCTTCCGCTGCATTTGGCCATCATTCCAATATCTACCCTTCATTTCCTGGGGAAAGAGCCTGCAGGGCACCGCTCTTGCTGCCACTTTCCCCAAAAACCCGGAGTGTTTTGTGTCTGTCGCGTTTCTCTGCAGCCATGTGATGTATTGGCATTAAAATGCTGCACGATGGAAAATTAATTTATGGCAGTGATAGCCATTAGAGCTGCTGTAGTCCGAATCTGGGAGTGTTATGGGGTATAAATCTTGATTTTTGAGGGCTTTCTTATTTAGTCACATATAGCTCAGCTATCAAAGCAGTTGGTAAATGCCAGCACTGGGTGCTTGCTGTGACCTGCAGTGATACCAGGGGCGAAGCAAGAGCAGCTCACTCACATCTTGTCAAGCACAGAACAGCTTCAGGGACCCCCTTACCGGTGAGCTGGAAGCTGTGGAGTCCCGCTGAACGCTGCTCACAGTCCTGAGATCATCCGTATGTAAAATGGTTGGAATGTGAGATGCGGGTGATGCCTGGGAAGCCGAGGGTGTCCCCAGGAAGAGCTGATGCATTCCTGTGCTTGTGGTTTTTGAACCAGGATGTTGAAGTCACTCTAATGGCATTTTTTTCCCCCCAAACCCTCTGGAAAAGCAGCTGTTTTGGTAGCTTTTTGTGCCAGCGGTGACCATGCCTTGTCTGGGGGAGCAGCCAGCATTGATGCCAATAATTCCTTTGGCTCTTTTTCTGACTGAGTCAGATCACTCAAGCATTAACCTTAAAATAGCAACTATTTTTGTAGTTGATATAATTAATCTCCTGTGTGTGTATGTTCCTTCCCTATTCCAGGCTCTGATGCTTCACCACTCCCCTGCTGACCCACTCCTGCTTTGGCACGAGAAAACTCTGAGCAAAACTTGGCTTTTCCACAAAAAAAGCACGAACTACAGGCTGTGTGTGCTCTGCTCCGTGAGTTCACTGCCGGGCTGGTGTCTCCAGTCACAGATTCCTCGCTCATGTGCTCTGTTGGTTTTGGAGCATCCCCTCGATCTGCTTTTGGGTGGGCAGATGTGGAAGGGGGATGCTCACAAGCTGCCAGGACTGGGGGTGACACTGGCCACAGAGACAGCTGTGATGGGTGGGTGGGTGGATGGGTGGGTTTCGTGATGCAGTTGGAAAAAGCGCTTTGGAGGAAGCCTGAAGCCTGAGCTGACCCGGTGTGGGGCCTCGTCCAGCCCTGGGAAGGGGAGGAGCGAGGAAGGGGATGGGATGGGCTAACCAGGGTCCATCCCCTGCCTCTCTTCTCCCTTTCCTGGGGCAGCTCCTGCAGCAAAACACATCTAAGAGTGCCAGTGGGCCATACTGGCTACTGCCCCATCCCAAACTTCCCACCCCACAGACAGCCCCGGCCGTGCCGAGGTGGGATTCAGTGGGTGCTGTGCCTGGGCTGTGTGGCACCAATGATTTTTTAGGTCTGAGCACATCAGTGAGGAGGATGAAGGCAGAAATAAAAGACCATTTGTGATGAAGCACAGAGTGAGCACAGAGACTGGGACAGTCTGCACTTCGCTGCTTGCATGCAGTGCTATTCCCACGAGGCAGCTGCAATCCTGGCAATTAAATCAGGAAGGATACATTGGGGAAAACCCCCGTGATGGCGTCTGAGCTGCTGATTAAATGTGCACAGCCTGGTGAGCCCACGTGGAACAAACGGCTGCGTGGCTGAGCCTGACAGACTCGCTGTGTCCTGGGCAAAAAACTCCGGGGATTTATTAAACACTTCCAAGCAGATACCCGAGGAAGGAAAAGCTTTCTGCAGACACACACTCGGCTGTGCAGCCCACACAACTCTCAGCTTTTACAGTCAGAACGTGCAGCATCGGATCCATCCCAAGCTCCTGCGTGGCAGGAGGGGTGGCAGCTTCCCTTGGAGCAGGAACCTGCTCTGACCACAGCAGCAGCAGCAAACATTGCCCAGGGAATGCTCATTTCCATGGCTGCACCGTGTGGGTCACACAGCAGAAGCCCTGCGAGCACACACTGCTTAATCAAAAAGCCAGCCTGGGTCAGGGCTGGGCTGGCTCTGAGCTTGTCCTGCAGCTGCTGGTGGTGAGAGATGTGAGCAATGCCTGAAGTCTGTCTTGGAAGAGAAAGCCTGGGGCATTTATAAAGCAAAACTACTCTCCAAGGATTGGCCTGCAGTGGATTTTCCTCTGAGCAAACAGCCCAGCTCCTTCCCGGGCACACTGACCACATTCAGCTGGGCACGATTGTTTTGTGTCCCACTTGCTGTTCAGATTTCAATCCTGTCAGCCCCAGGAGTTTTTCCAGGCTTGGGCTGTGTTTCTCTGCCTGTAGAAATGTCACTTCATTCTAGAAAATGTCACTAGAGTTGTTATTTAAACAGTAATAGGGTTAAAGCTAATAATTGGGAAGTGAAAGTGAGTGGCTTGCATAGTTTCCAATTACTTTTCTCCTCTCGTCTGTGTGATTTGAGTTCTCTCCTCAGCGTTTCGCGTGATGGAGGCAGGGTAGAGTTTTAAATAGAATTAAATCCTTTCAACCTCAGTTTTGCAGCAGCAGAGGAGCCTGTGCTAGAACGCCTGTGCTGTGCAGGGAAGATTTGGGACCTCGCTGGACCCCCAGCTGGGCACTGACAGGTCATGCTCTGCACACTAAAGGACACCCCTGCTGCGATGTGGTTACAGCCCAGAGAGCACAGCTGAAGGGAAATACTGCAAAAACTGGAGTTTTGCTGATGGAGGGAGCTACACAGGATGTTTTTCCAGCACATTTTGGGGCTAGACTGAAATCTGCTGAGGCCTATTGGAGTTGCAGGCAGGTCTTTGTCCCTAAAAGCCATGCTGAGAGGGATGCTGGAGGGGAGACACGACCTCACAGAGCTCTGACTGCCTCGTGCTGCCAATCCCCTGTGCTCAGTGCCATCCCTCCAGCTCATCCCCCAGGCTGTGCTGCTGCTGGGACATGGTGATGGTGTTTTCATCCTCTTCTGCCTTAATGAGCTCGTTTGTGTGAGGCTGGGTAATGGAGGACGAGGCATTTTAGAAACATCCACTTGGGGAATGTATCCCTGGAGAAGTGAGTGTCAGGCAACGTTTGGCTGGTTAAAAACAATAAAGGTGCAAAGAGCAGTGCTGTGTCAGCTGTGCTCCTCTGTGTCCTCTGCAAACACCCCGTGTGTGTTGTGTTGGGCTCTCCACAGCCTCACAGACAGGTTTTGCTGTATCCAGGCATAGATTTTTCCCCTCTAGCTGCTACCACGGGAGTCCAGGCATGCCCAGGCAGCTCCAGCAGAGCCCTCATTGCAACACGGGCAGGAAGAAAACTGTATTTATCGTGTGCATCGGTACAGCTAATGACTGCACACAGACACCGAGCTGTTGTGGAGGCACAAAGCCCTGCATGGGTTTGAGGTGGGGAAAAGCTTGGGTGCCGCTGCTTTTAGCACTTGTATGGTTTCCTGGCTGCACCACAAACCTGCTGGAGGTTGAATCTGTGGGGCTTTTGAAGTGATTGAACTTCATCTCTCTATGTACACATTGCAGAGAGTGAGTGAAGGCGCAGTGGAGCCCTGATGTGAGAGAATGGTAGAATCACAGAAGGGTTTGGGTTGGAAGGGACCTTAAAGATCATTTAGTTCAATCCTCTTTCCAGGCAGGGAGACCTTCCACTAAGCCAGATTGCTCAGAGCCCCATCCTGGCCTTGATCACTTCCAGGGATGGGGCAGCCACAGCTTCTCTGGGAAATCTGTGCCAGGGCCTCACCACCCTCAGAGAGAAGAATTTCTTCCTGATACCTAATCTAAACCCTGCCCTCCGTCGGTGTGAAGCCATTCCCCCCTCATCCCGTCCCTTCATGACCTTGTCCAAAGTCCCTCTCCAGCTCTCCTGGAGCTCCTTTAGGCACTGGAAGGGGCTCTAAGGTATTCACAGAGCCTTCTCTTCCCCAGACGGAGCAAATCCAGCTCAGCCTGATCACCCTGAGTTGAAAGGGACCCACACGGATCTGACTCCTCCACGTGGGGAACAGACCCCTCTTCATCTGGGGAACCCAAGGGTTGGAAAACGCTTCTACCACTTGAGGTGTTGATGTCCCACCAAGGTCACCCCCGGACACGGGGCTCAGCCTCGCTCCAGGCTCTGTGTTCCCACCGCCAATTCCCCTTCTCCTCATCCCCCCGCTGCCCATCGGCCCCCCCAGCAGGACCCCGATTCCCGACAATTCCCTCCGAGTGTTTCCGCCCATCCCCGCGGGGCGGCTCGGGAGGGTCCCGGCGGCGGGGGCCGCTCTGGAATCCCCCTCCCTGCGGGGTCCTCCCGCCGCTGGGAGCGGCGGGGCCGTGCCGGAGCCCCCTCCCCATCCCCATCCCCATCCCCATCCCCATCCCCATCCCCATCCCCATCCCCATCCCCATCCCGCAGCGCGGGGCGGGGCGCGCCGCCCCTCCGCCCCTCCGCGCCCCCGCGGCCGCTCCGCGCCCGGCGGCGGAGGGCGGGGAGGGCGCGTGGAGCCGGGGACACGCACACGGACACGCACACGGACACGCACACGGACACGCACACGCAGCGCGGCCCCGCAGCGCGGATCTGCGGCCAAACCTCGCCAACAAAGACCCCTCCGCCCCCCTGGCCGCCGCCCCCCGCGGGATGTAGCCGGGCCGGGAGCCCCAGCGAGGCAGCGGCCCCGCCGCTCCGTGCCCCGCAGCGAGGCCGGGAGGCGGCGGGCTCAGAGCGCTGCCGCCACCATGGGCAAATCCAACAGCAAGTTGAAGCCTGAAGTTGTGGAAGAGCTGACCAGGAAAACGTACTGTGAGTGCCCGGGGGGCTGCCGGGGGGTGCCGGGGGTGTGATGGGATCCGCGCTGCCGCCCGGCCCCGCCGCTCCCCCGGGTCGGTGCCGCGGCGAGCGGCGGCTCCTGCGGGGCCGCTCCCGGGGAGGGCGCAGGCTCGGCCGGGCTTTGTTGGAGGAATTCAGGGATTGGCCTGGGAGGAGGAAAAAACCCATAAGGCGGCAGAGACACGGAGAGAGGCAGCGAGCCAGGGGAACGCGGTGGGTTTTTTTTTTTACAAAAACCATCCTCCGTGGCCTATTTCTGAGCCTCCGGGAACGGCGGGGCCAGGGCCGCATCCTGCCCGCCCGCGGCGCCCAGCGGAGCATCGCGCCCTCCCTCACCGTCCCCCGCCCCTGCCCCGAGCATCCTTCCCCCGGGCTGCCCGGTACCCAGGGCCCGGTGCGGGGATCGCCGTCCCCGTCCCCCCGCTGCCTCCCCGCAGCCCGGCAGCAGCTCCCGGAGCGGGGTGCCGAGCGTCTGGGTGGCTTCCAAAGTTTGGGTGCGTTAGTTGGAGGGGTTCCCTTTGTTATTGCGCTCTGAAGTGGAGAGAAGAGCCCGACACCGGCAGGTTCGATATTTATCTGAGTATCTCAGTATCGGTTTAATAACCTGATTTTCTGAACGAGTGGCTTTCCCGTCTGGACCTCCACCGTAATCTAATTAACGTGGCTGGTGCCTCAGCCATCCAGTTTTAGCAAAATCATTTTTTTTCCCCTGAAGGATGCACAAAGGAAACAAAGGCTTTGGTGGCTCAAGTTTGCCTCCCCGCTTGCAGGTCGCAGATATTCCCCAAACGTGCAGCAGACCTGCGAGCTCTCCCCTCTGTCATTGCTGCAGTCCCACGGCAGCGCTTACCCAAAAAGGCAATAGATGAGGATGCAGCAAGTTCTCCCATATGGAGAAGAGGCAATACTGGTGCATTGCACAACCCTACACGCGGGGTTGCTCTGTGCCGTGGCAGCAGGCGGGAGGAGGGCAGGTGCGGGGGGCAGGTCCGCATTGCCAAGCCGGGAGCGATGGTAGGAGAGGTTGGGGTACCCCAGCTGGGCTTCCTCAAGGTGCTGGGGGGGAGGAAGCAGTGAGAAGGTGGCAGTGCCAGGTGGGCACAGCCCCCGCTGGAGCTGAGCTGGGTTTTGGTGTCCTCACTGCAGCCGGGCCGGGTGCCGGCAGAGCTGTGCTGCAATCGCCCGCTCGGTTTGCAGCCACTGCGCCGACCTGATCTCTGATGGAGGGGAATTTGGGAACAGCCAGCCCCAGCACAGCCCTGGCTGCTGGTGATCTCCTGTGTGCTGGCCTTTCTGCACACCTGGGGCGGCTCCTCTGCCCAGGAAGGTGCCAACACCAGTGGGGCTGACACGGGGCACGCAGGCAGAGGTGCCCCTAGTCTCAGTTACAGCCAAAGCCAACCAAACACAGCGCTGGTGAAGCCAATGTCTTTGGGCACAGGGATGTCTCTTAGCTGGGTAAGGCCAGCAGGTCATTGCTTTGTTGAATCACTTCATTCCCAACTTTCTGCTCCTCTCTTTTGGGTGTCCTCCTCTTTCCACTGCACCCTTTCAGACAAAGAATGTGGCCCTCTGATCCCTTCCTCAATGAGTTTCCAGTCTGCCTGGAGCTTTGCCTGCCTGCCCTGGACCTCTCACTGCCTCTTTTTAAAGATCCCTGCACCTGTGCAGGTGAGGCAGCAGCACCCAGCAGCACGTGGCCTTTTGCGTGGCTGGAGTCTGGCGCAGCATCCCAACGTGCCCCAGCAGCATGTGGCTGCTGATGTGGTGCCTGTCAGGGCGAGCTGTTGCTAATTCCAGGGTCTGTTTGTTGAGCTCTGCTCATTCCACCTCTCATCTCTGGGATTAATTACTTTTGCTGTGCGCCTCTGCCCCTTTTCTGCAGCTGTCAAGGCGAGCGTGCATTCCCTTGTCTGGTGAAGACTTTACAGGGCCTTCCCAGGCACGGCTGAGAGCTCTGGTTTATCTTCAGACCATGGGAGATTGGAAAGATACCAATTTCCTTCTGTGTTTTGGGGAAGGCAGGCAGGAGGGCAGGGCTGTGCTGGGTACAGTGCCAGGAGCTGATCCAGACCCCGCTGCTGTGGCTGGTGGAGCAGCTGGAGCAGGGGACAGTCATACACACAAATCCATGCCCTGCTCAAGAATGTCTGGGGGCCTGCTTGGAAAAGGCTTTTTTCCACAGCATGGTGATATTTAGGCACGCTTCTGGCAGACACAGGAGCATCCCTGGCCTTTGCTGCCCATCCCCTGTCCCATGCCCTGCTGTGTTTCCAAGCAAGTGCTTGTGTGTGCTGCTGTTTCTGCTGTTGCTGCAGCACATCTGGGCAGATGTCTCCAGCAGCCCAAACTGATGCAAACCTGCATTTGTCCCGGGGAGGTTCCCGTGGCAGCGTGAGCCGTGGCTGCGGTACGTGAAGGGTTTCTCCCACGCTGGGATTTCCTTCCATTGCATAATTTTCTGATTGTATGGATTTCCACACAAAACAAAGCAAATACCAAAAAGGCCCCTCTCAGTTCTGCAGGATCAGAGGGAAATGTCACTCCCTCTCCCTGCCCCATGTGGCTTTTCTGCTAATTTATCTCAACCATGGGACACAGAAGACATCTTCTTCCCCTCAGTGCTCTTCAGTGCCTGGTGGCTTCTTGTGTCCCTTGTCCTCTCTGAGCTCTCCATCTCCTGTTTGTGGTGTTTCTCTGGCCTCGCCTCAGCTGCAGCAATCCTGGAAAAGCAGGAGATGGGAGCAGCCAGGAGAGGAGCAGGGGAAGGCTCAGGTGCCAGGGCAGCTGTGGACAGGGAGGTTGAGCTGAGGATACTGCAGGGCAGCCGTCAACGGGCTCCGTGAGCTGTGAGGAATATTTCCCTGAATGCATTCAGAGCAGGTTGCCCCAGGCCCTGCTGGGAACTGGACATGGAAAGGCAGGAGCCTGGAAACCTCATCCCTTGGCTCCCCTCCCCACTCTGCTCCTGACTTACGGTGCTGGGGGCCAGATTTTAATGGCACTTGGACACCTAAAGGCGTGGAAGGGCTTCTTTGAAGTGCTGGCTGCCCAAATCCTGTTGGTTTGGACCCATCTCTGTGTGCCTTTCTGTGTCTCTGGGCTCCTGAGTGCCCAGGAATACCTGGCAGTGCCAAGCTCCACCATCTGCCAGGTGCTGGTGGGGACAGCCAGGCTGCAGGGCTGTTTGACCCTCCTTGCAGACAAGGCTGGTGCCACACAGGAGAGTGCAGGAGAAGTCAACATTGAGTGATAATAATACTGAATAATAAATGATGTAATTCTTCGTGCTTCCATAGATCCTTTCACTGAAAAGTGATTAATACTAATTAATTTATTAATCCTTCTGATGCCTCGTTGGGGTAGCTCAGAGATGCAGTTTGGTGTTGTGTCCCAGGAGGTGGTAACTCCCGAGACTTGAAGGAACCACCATCCTCCTTGGATCACATCCTCTTCCAGGTGGATTTAATCCTGAGCTCAGCTTGGGCCAGGTGCTCCCGGCTTAGGGCCACAGTGGGATTTGGGATTGTGTTTAAGACCCTTGTGGGGCCACAGTCAGAGGGTTCTGCTGAGCTGGAGATTTATGAAGGTCCTGAGGTGTGACTGCAGCCTGAATGAAGCGGGTGACGTGCACGTGTGCAGTTGTGGGTGCACCAAACACGTCCTGGCTGGAAATGACTTGGTGTGGACTCCTGGCAGAGAAACTGGGAGAGAAACACAGTTCTGAGTGTTCCAACTCACAGCAGCACTGCCAGGCCAGGAACCCTTCAAATCATGAAGCACTTTTAAAAACGTGCACTTGTTTCAGGAGAGCACATTTTAGCTCTTTTTTTCCAGTCATTTTGGGGAAGATTGGCTTTCAGGGTTCCCTTTGCACAGCTGCTGCCCATGTCCAGGCTCTGTGGTATTTTTGAGGCTGCAATAGCTGAGCAGTCAGGCATGCTCAGAGCTCTGCCGGTGCAGCAGTGTGGCTCTGGGGCCAGCTTGGGGCTGGCATGGTGGGGATGGTGGCCCTGGTGCTCCTGAGGCCACAGTGGGGCTCAGGTGGAGGTGTGGGAGCCACGGTGAGGGTGCCAAAATGACAGCCAGGCTGCAGAGTGGGTGCGAGGAAGATGCTCTTTTCCCAAGAACCGCATCCCACCCACTGTGATCTATTTTGTGGATTTTAAACTCACTCTGGCATCATCATTTTCTGCTCTTTCACAATAAGCCACAAAAATTGGCTCCATTGCTCGACAGTAATGCAGGGAATTAAAGGGCATTAGTTTAAGAGCAAACTATAAACATATTGATTTGTAGTTACAGGGGTATGTGGTGGCGGGTGGTGGAATTCTCTGGGAAAGGAAAGGAAATTCTACGATTGCAGCAGTTTTCAGCCAGGAAAATGGATTGGTTCCTTGCTGGCTGAGGCAGCCTGGGGCTTTGCTCCATCATGCCACCCCAGTGCTGAGGAAATGTGCTGGCTGGGGCAGTGGGCAGGAGCAGGGGAGGAACCTTGGTAGCTCCCCCACTGCTGCTGGTTTATTTTTAGCCTCCCAAGTGTTTGGCCCCAGGCACTGGATATCTCTGCCAGGTTGGTTTGTGTTGAAATCCCTCCTGTTCTCATCCAGCAGAAGGTGGGGTGAGCTGGCCGGACCCGTTACCCCTCAGTGGCAAATGCTGGGTGAAATTGTCATTGTGGGTGACTTTTAACAGGGCTTGGAGTGCCAGGACAGATGGGAATGGCTTCAAGCTGACAAAGAGCAGGGTTAGGTGGGATGTCAGAAAGAAATTGTTCCCTGTGAGGGTGGGGAGGCCCTGGCACAGGTTGCCCAGAGAAGCTGTGGCTGCCCCATCCCTGGAAGTGCCCAAGGCCAGGTTGGCTTGGGGCAGGACGATGGGCAGGAGGTGCCAGGGGGATGCCCAGGGGCTGGAGTTTGTTTGGGGCCTGGTTTTGCTGCAGCCACGTGTAAGGCAGAGCTGTGAAGGGGATT